ATTGTAATGTAAATTATAAAATGTACCCCAATATCAGAGAAACAAAAATGTGAAAAAGAGTGGTACATTTAGCCTTGTCTGGTATTACCTTTATTTTACAGATGAGGAAACAGGCACAGGGAAGGGTTATTTGCCTGAGAATGCAGAATTAGTCAGCGGTGGAGTCAGGACTTCAACCAAGAAGTTTGGTTCTAAAACCTGTGTTCTTATTCACTGCTTTACAATCCTTCCATAAAGAAGATATAAATGAATTATAAGCCAAGTACTGTGGGACTATAGATTAATCATGAAAGGTGGTATTATGAAAGATAGAGGAAGTGATTGATCGTTAAGTTGGACTTAGAACCATGAGTGAAATTTTTCTAAGTAGAGGAGAAATGAAAGTGATTTGGAAGTTCATGCAAATGTTAAGTGGGCATGATTTAACTTTCCTTCTCAGGTGTCCCAGGTCTCTCCATTACCTACAAAATTTCAGATAACCTGTATTTGCCTTACCTGCCAAAAATTATCTATACCTCCTATACCTAATAACTTATCTTCAGAGCGGCTGGTGTGGTTTTTTTCATACCTGTAAGACCAGACCACAAGATATGAGTTAATGAGTTATTTAATTGCTTCTCAGCTTGAAATGAAGCCTTTAGATATGCATATCTACACAGTTTAGTTATTTTACTCTCTAGCTTTTGTTCTTTCCCTTGCCAACCTTTATCAGTCTACAAAGTGATACTTTACTGAATTCATATCTTTGTCACAGAATAATTTATAACTGGTTTTTGAAGACAAGTGAAATTCATTATAAATAACAATTTGCATGTTGGGTCCAGTCTTATCAGAATATAATGAAATAAATTTGATGTATCCTGGCTAGTTAATAAAAGTGTCATTGAGTCTATCTAATAGCATTTTATTCTATGTATCTATTATATATGTCTGTCTTGCCTTTAAAGAAAGCATGCACTTCACGTTTTTGTAGGAAATTACATTTGCATAATGAAAAAATTTTACAAAAGGAAGCACTTACAATAGTAATAATACTAACACTTATTAAGTGTTTTTTTGTATGCAGGACACCATTAAAGTACAATACTTTAATGTATTAATGCATTTACTGTCCATGAAACCATAATTGATGTTATTTCCCTTGTTTTATAAATGAGGAAACCAAGGCCCTGAGCTGTGTTCGGGCTAGAATTTGAAACTAGGAAGCTTGCCTCCAGATCCCACACTCTTACCTATTATTTTGTGCCTCTATAGTATTTTTGCAATCTTTTTGTTAATAAGTAATAGACTAATTGTCTATTAAAAAACTAGAGAACACTATTTCTTCTAGATGATGATATTAAATATAGAATGAAGCATAGTTTTGTTTGTATTACAGTAATTTTATGAAGATGCTTTGATTATCCTTTATCACTGCTAATTTTAAACTATTATTACTCCCAACTTGCAGGTTTTAAAATAGTGCCATATTGTTGTGTGCCTTTAAAAATTTTAATGACAGCCTTAAATTATCTAATTTGAATGAGGATAAAATAATAATGGTTATAACATTGTTACCCCTTGCTCACCCTCTCCAACTCTTTCTATAATAACTTAGTTTCTTGTAAAATATTTGAATGTGTTACAGGTCCAGATTTTATTACCCTCTGACTGAAGAGGGGTATTTAATAGTGATGATTTTATTCTATGTATTGTATTAAGTGCATCAAAAGAACTTAGGAATTTTCAGTATTCCTTTTCAGCCCCTATTGTGGTTCTTATGAATTATGTGGATGCTTAATAAACTTAAAACTTCATTTAATTACAGAAATCTGTGGTGAATCATTAATGACGTTCTAGCAACTCCTACTGCCTAGAAACCTCTGAAAATTAGGAAATAAGTAAAAATGACTTTAAATAGCAAAAATCAATAGCAAAAAAAAACTCATATACTTTACTTTTAGAAGTATGTCAGCCCCTCCTAAGTGCATTTTTTAGTGGTTCCCAGCTGACAGTATTACTGAGTTAATTCAAGGTGAAATTAGGCTTGCTTAAGTAAATATGTACAGTGATGGCAGTGGAGCAAGAGAAAAGATAAACACTAAAATCCAATGAATTGCACTTAGAAATCTGAGCCCACTTAATTTTTGGAACAGGATGGTCTGTATACTTGAATTTTTCTTAAGAATAAATTCAACCCAATGTCTCTGTCCTTAAAGGAACAGATTGGATTATGATGATGATCAGAAATTGAGTATAAAACATTTGAAGAATCATGTGATTTGAAATATTTTTGGTATATAAAGATCAGATTTTAAGTTTTCTTGGGATATTTGCTTATATAGAATACTTTTACCTTTGGAAGTATTAATTCATATTTTCTAATTTCATAGACCCTGGTTGAGACAAAGTAACTATAAATCAATATTGTCATTTTAATTTATCCACATATATATTCTTTGCTTTTATCTTAGCAACTATGAGTTAGTATTTAAGAAAACAGCTTCTGAAGTCAGACTTATTTGAATCTCACTTTATTAGTTATGTGGCTATGGACAAAAATATAACTTCTCTGAGCTTTAGTTTCCTCATATTCTCCTATCTAATAAAAGGGTAATATGCAAATTGACTGTCACTCGAACACACAAGATAGCTGCCCCCATATGGTCAATGATGGCTGCCCCCCTGTGGACACAATATGGCCATCACAAGATAGCCAGGAGGGAGGGCAGTTGTGAGGGACCAGGCCTGCAGGGAAGGGCAATTGGGAGGGAACAGGCCTGTAGGGGGGAGGGCAGTTGGGGGTGACCATGCCTACAAGGGAGGGTAATTAGGGGCAATCAGGCCTGCAGGGGAGGGTAGTGGAGGGACCAGGCCTGCAGGGGAGGGCAGTTAGATATAATCAGGCCAGCAGGGGAGTGGTTAGGGGGTGATCAGGCTGGCAGGCAGAAGCAATTGGGGGCAAATCAGTCAGGCAGGCAAGCAAGCGGTTGGGAGCCAGCAGTCCTGGATTGTTAGAGGGACTTCTGACTGCCCATTTAGGTCCAGTCCCACTGGGCAGTAAGGTATCCCTTGAGGGGTCCCAGATTGGAGAGGGTGCAAGCTAGACTGAAGGATATTTCCCCCTCTCCCCCATACACAAATTTCATGCTCGAATTACATGCACTGGGCCTCTAGTATTATAATAAAAGTGTAATATGCTAATTAGACTCTGTGTTCCTTCTGGATGACCTTCTGGACAAAGCCGGGGTTACAGGGGCCAAGGTAGAGGCAGCGGCCACAGCAGTGGGGGCTGAGCCCCTTGCACAAATTTTGTGCATCAGGCTTCTAGTATATTCATAACTAGTTATTTAGCAACTACTGTGCATCATGCACTATTTTAGGAGTGAGGGGATACATAGACGAACACAATGGTCAAAAAAATCCTGTCTTTATGGAATTTATATATGAGTTGGGAGAGATTGACAGTAAATAATGGCATAGTAATAGTATCTGTATTTGAGTCTTTTAGGATCATGTGAAGTAATTAATGCACATAAACTTTTCTAATAGTGTGGAATAAATGTGGGCATCTGTTTTTATTTTATTTTTTCCTCCATTTTTTATTAAGGTATTGGATGTGTACATATCTTACCACTGTCCCCTCCCTCCCTCCACTCCAATACATGCCCTCACCCCCCAGTGTCTTGCGTCCATTGGTTATGCTTATATGCATGCATTCAAGTCCTTCAGTTGATCTCTTATCTCCCCCACCTCTCCCTAACCTTCCTACTGTAATTTGACAGTCTGTTGGATGCTTCACTGCCTCTGTATCTAACTTTTTGTACATCAGTTTATAATGTTCTTTATTATCCACAAATGAGTAAGGTCATGTGGTTGTTTTTTGTTTCATTGACTGGCTTATTTCACTTAGCGTGATGTTCTCCAGTTCCATCCAAGTTGCTACAAATGGTAAGAATTCCTTCTTTTTATGGCAGCATAGTATTCCATTGTGTAGATGTACCATAGTTTTCTGATCCAGTCATCTACTGATGGGCACCCAAGCTGTTGCCAAATCTTAGCTATTGTAAATTTGCTGCTATGAACATAGGGGTGCATATGTCCTTTCTGATTAGTGTTTCTAGTTTCTTAGGATATATTCCTAAAAGTGGGATTACTGGGTCAGTTCCATTTGTTGGTATTTTAATGGGGAGTGCATTGAATCTATAGATTGCTTTGGGTAGTATGGACATTTCAATGATGTTGATTCTACTAATCCATGAACATGGTATGTTCTTCCATCTGTTTATATCTTCCTCTATCTTTTTTTAGTGTCTTGTGGTTTTTTTGCGTATAGGTGTTTTACCTCCTTAGTTAAGTTTATTCTTAGGTATCTTAATTTTTTTGGTGCGATGGTAAATGGGATTGCTTTTTTAGTCTCTCTTTCTGTAAGTTCATTATTGGTGTATAGAAATGCCGTAGACTTCTTGGCGTTTTCATTTATTAAGTCTGTTAGTGTTTTTATGGAATCTTTTAGGTTTTTTATGTACAATATATCACCTGCAAATAAGGACAGCTTTACGTCTTCTTTTCCAATTTGGATGCCTTTTATTTCTCTTTGTCTAATTACAATGGCTAATACTTCCAGTACTATGTCAAACAAGAGTGGTGAGAGTGGGCATCCCTATCTTCCTGTTCTTAGGGGAAATGGTTTTAGTTTTTGCTCATTGAGTATGATGTTGGCTGTAGGTTTGTCATATAAGGCTTTTGTTATGTTGAGGTATGATCCTTCTCTTCCCACCTTGTTGAGAGGCATCTATTATTTTTAGCGTTTGATTCTTGACTTCAATGATTAGTCCTATATTGGCAAAAAATTAAATTTATTGGGCATATTAGTCATCTTAAACATTAATAATTAGCAATACTCTATTATTGGTGATACTGAATACATTCATTTTCTCCTTATTGTTGATGGGTAAGGAAAAGTAGAGAGATAACATTTAATCTCATCAATATATGTACTTTGCTTTCTTTTACAACAGCCACCGAAAAAGACATCTAAAAAAGAAAAACCTAAACAGAAAGCCACTTCTAAAAGTAAAAAATCTGTAAAGAATGCTAATGTGAAAAAGGCAGATAGCAGCACCACCAAGAAGAATCAAAACAATTCCAAAAAAGGTATGTTAGAAACCTCCTACAGATGAAGAGTACTGTAACATACTTTGTAATTGTTTAGAAAATAGTTAAGCCGAAACTGGTTTTGCTCAGTGGATAGAGCGTTGGCCTGCAGACTAAAGGGTGGGTCCCAGGTTCGATTCCAGTCAAGGGCATGTACCTTGGTTGCGGGAACATCCCCAGAGGGAGGTGTGTAGGAGGCAGCTGGTTGATGTTTCTAACTCTATCCCTCTCCCTTCCTCTCTGTAAAAAATCAATAAAAATATATATTTTTTTAAAAAAAATAGTTAAACTAGGAAGAACATTGGGAAAAAAGTAGTATACCAGTTTTTTATCACTTATAATTTTTCAAAATTGAAATTTGTATGTTTTATAGGTTATTTGTAGAGTGGTGATTTATAATTCCTTAAATCTAGATCCTTTTGAGAATCTAATGACTGCTTATAGAATTTTTGCCAATATATGTTGAATGGTAATTTACTATGTAAGAAAAAATTTATTCACATGTAATGTCTTACTTTTAGAAAGTGAATCTGAGGATAGTTCAGATGATGAACCTTTAATTAAAAAACTGAAGAAACCTCCTACAGATGAAGAGTTAAAGGAAACAGTAAAGAAATTATTGGCCAGTGCTAACTTGGAGGAAGTTACAATGAAACAGATTTGCAAAAAGGTAATTGGACAGGTGCTTGGATAAGTTTGCTTTTATTTGAAAATTTCTTTCACCCATTGTTCAGTTTGAAGCCAGATTCTTATATGCATTCATTCATTCATTGAACACATACTATTGAACTACATGCCAGGCACTCTGTTTACATGTCTGCAGTAACCATATTAAATATAGTAAGTCAAAGCCTCTGCTCTTTGGAATTGTTTCATAAATAACAGTAGAATGTATACAGTGAATAAAGTGCTACATTCCAAACTGCATAGGAAACTATCTTTTCTGATCTAGAAACATTTTATTGGTGCATCTTTTTAGATTGTTAGTTTTACAAAGCAAAAATCTCAATATTGGGAAATTTTAGAATTTGGTTTCTTACAGTAAAGTGAAATTGAAATTAGAAATGTATCAGTTGCGAAATATTCTTTACCTTCTGAAGACATCTTTTTTTAAATTTATTCGTTCAGTACTCACTGAGTCTTTACTACATATCAGGCCCTGGGATAGATGTGAGAGGTAGAACTGGAGAAGAGATCACTTCGCTTTAGGGAGATATCACTTCACTTTCAAGTCCAGTGGAATTGAAAGACATTCGTTTTGGTAATTAGAGTACAACTAGAGGCCTGATGCACGAAATTCATGCAAGGGGATCGGCCCTTAGCCCTTGTGGCCCCAGCTTCATCCGGAAGGTCGTTTGGCTATCTGGTCTAATTAACATATTACGCATTTATTATTATAGATGTTTGAGGGCTGTGTTGGAAGAGTGAGGGCTGTGTTGGAGCATTATCCAACTTGGGATTGAGAGGAAGGGGGTTGTGGAAACCTGGGAAAGCACCTTGGAAGAGATCTTGGAGGTTTAGCTGTCCCATACAATTGAGGAACATTGACACATTCACAAAATGTGACAAATAATGACTGTGAAGAATAGTGATTAGTTTAATTTGGCTGAAGACTAGACCTGGAAGTAAGTCACAGGTTAGAGAATACTAGTTTTTCAGTTTTTAAGTATACCATGTTACAGAGTTTGGTTTTCTTCTTGAAACTAATGGAGAATTGGAAGATTGGGTAGGTTATTGAGAGCTATTTGGGTAAGTCGTAACTCAATCAGGTTTTTATTTTTTAATAGTCATCCCAGACACATCAAGGACAGATTGGTGAAAATAACATGAGAGACAAGAAACCCAGTTCATGTCATAGTCAAAGTTATAGGGTTGGCATAATCCAAGTCAGATATCAAGAGAGCCTGGTTAAAAGTAGTAAAAGAATTGGGTGCATTAATCACAATAAGGAATAGAATAAAAGGTATACTTTTTGAGAAAAGATGAGTTTTGTTCCAAACATATTGAGATGGGGGTGCTTGGAACATCAAAGTGAGAGAAATTCTTAACATTGTAGCTCTCAAATTAGGAGAGAAACCTAGACTAGGATATTGCTGCAAGTTAAAACCAGAAATATAGATCGGCTGCCCACGGAAGAAGACAAAGGGTGAGAAAAGCAAAGGACAGAGTCCTGGAGAGGTAATTTCTACAGAATATAAGAAACTGTAGAGTTAGTGGTAGAGGGAAGGCCAGAGGGTGGTGCTGTGAAAGCCACAAGGAAACATTTGCAAGGGTGAGGCATAGTGCCAGTTAAAAGGATAGTGCCAGTTAAAAGGAGTCGGCTTACAGGGGGCAGTGGCTATGGAAAAGCAGCTACTTCACAGAAAAAAGTAAGCATGGCCTTTAAACAAATGAAAACGTGCATAGCTTTCCCTAAACTGATGAGGAAGATAGAAATTAAAAGGGAATATTTTTATTAGCTTGACAAAATATTTATGAAGAATAAAAGTTTTCATGGTTGGCAAGGATATAGGGAAACATTTTCTCATGCTTTAAGATGTAAAAGCTTTGGAGATCAGTTAGGTAGTATCTTAAAATTTAAATTGCTAATACCCTTTAACCTAGCAATTCCATTTCTAGGTCTTTATTCTAAAGACATAGTCACATCTGCACAAAATGATTACGATAATGTTCAGCATGTCTAATACTGAAAAGTCAGAAACCACATAAATGGCCTTCCATAGGGAAATTATTAAGTTGGTAACCACATCCATATTTTTGGAATACTTTGTAGCAGTTGAAAAGAGCATGGAAAAACTTTTCAGGTATTGTCAAAATTTTAAAACATGGAATATTCTATTTATCTAAATGCAGAAGTACTATATTGCCATTGATATATTTGTGTATAAACTCATTTTTCAAGGAAGATCTGAAAAAATACACAGCAAACTGGTAACTGGTTTCCTCTGAGAAGAGGGGGGATGAAGGCAGAGTAGAAGGAAACTAGTTCTGTCCCTTTGAATGTTTTTTTTTTTTAGTACATTCATGTAATTTTAAACAGGGATTATTAATATGGAGAGGTCAGGTGAGGAGGACATGATAGTTTTTTGGACTGGACAATTAGGAGATAATTGTTTACCTAAGAGCAATTTAAATGGGTAGTAAATGAATAATGAGGAAAGTGAATGAATTAAAGCTTCTATTTGAAGCATCTTGCCTAAGGAGGGAAATAGATGAGGGAAGCGAATGCAAGTTAGTAAAATATTAGTTAGGGAGAGAAAGTACAAGCATGTGTTAGGCTGCTGTGAATGAAGCAGCTGAAGGCCAAGACAGGAGGGATGTCTGCAGAAGGGCAGAAAATGGGGAGTTGAACCTAGACACAAATAAACTGGAGGGAAAGAGATATGTCAGAAAGTAGAAAAAAATGTAATAATAAGCTTCTTGGTTGAGAACAGGAATGTGGGACACTTGTGTAAGTGGATGAAATTGCCATTGACAGGAGGAATGAAAGGACCTGCTTAGAAATATTTGGGATTGCTGGGGAGGCTCTGACATGGAATACCATGGACTTAAAAGGAGGATCAGCCTTTTCAAAGTGGTTACATGTTCCCACAGCAATCTTTCCTCTGGTCCTAACCATAGAAAAGTTGCTAGACCAATTCAGATTTGGAGGTTTGTAGAGAATGAACAAAAGACAAACAGAGGAGTGTAAATGATTGATTGTATTATTTTCAGGGATTGGCAAACTATAGCGAATAGGCCAATTCTCTTGCTGTTTTTGTATTGTAACCCGGCCATGCCCTTTCATTTAAGTATTATTGCCTAGGGCAGCTTTCACACTACAGTGACATAGTTGATGTGACAGAAAATGCATTGTTGGAAAAGCTGAAAAAATTGATTAATCTGGTCCTTTAAAGAAAAGTGTGCTGACCTTGAACCACCGTATACCACAGGAGTGAAGTTGGCAGGGTGCATTTGGAGTCAGGATTAGAAGTCATTGTGAAATCAAGCAGCAGGTATCATGTTGATAAAGGGGAAATTTAGAGTAAGATTTTAGGAATAGAGGGCTCTTGAGACCAGGTGGGTCTGAGTGATTCAGCTATGAGGAGGGGATTGCACAATGAGTAAAGGATAAAGTACACTAGAGTACAAGTTGAATTATAAGTAATTGGATGATATAACAGAAGAAAATGAGAATAAAGAACATCTGGCCTGCCAATATAAAGAATTCAGTTCACTTAGGCCGAGACCGGTTTGGCTCAATGGATAAGAGTGTCGGCTTGGGGACTGAAGGGTCCCTGGTTCGATTTTGGTCAAGGGCATGTACCTTGGTTGTGGGCATATCCCCAGTAGGGGGTGTGCAAGAGGCAGCTGATCAATGACTCTCTCATCGATGTTTCTAACTCACTCTCTCTCTCCCTTCCTCTCTGTACAAAATCAATAAAATATATATATTTAAAACTCATTTGCAATAGAATTCTCTTGTGAACTAGAGTACTATTAGAACATATATACAGCTATTTATATATACATTTCTTTTTTATCCAAAGATAGAGCATTATTGGATTTTTAACATAGTTTTTTATTTTCACTATAGGTATATGAAAATTACCCTGCTTATGATTTAACTGAAAGAAAAGGTTTCATAAAAACAACTGTTAAAGAGGTAAATATATCCACTGTTTCTAACTTTGATCATTTTAGACATGAGACAAAAAAAATCTGTATCAGAATTGCATACTTTTCAAAGTATCATACCAAATAACACATTTGATCCTCATATTTCCTCAAAATAGATGGGGGAAGATAGTTCTTTTTATTCCCATTTTAGAGCTTAAAAAATAAAACCTGCACATTAGTGGCAACACCTGACTTTGGATGAGGAAAATGCATGTTCTGCCTACTGGGCATCTCAGAGCATCACACACTATTTGAGCACATGTTTCTGTCCACCAAAGGCAGGAGAAAATCAACAATAGCTATAGTTTCAGTGGATCCCAGCTGATTTTCCAAGATCACAATAGTAAAATAAGGTTTAAAAATGAAATAAAGTTTTATGCCTTATTTATACCTAATAGTGTATGTTTGGTATGGGAAAATAATGTTTCTCTTTTCATTACAGCTAATTTCTTGAGAAAGAGGACAGAGACAGATGACTTGTTCCATGGATTTGAAGATTTTGTTTTTACCATTATACCAGCAAAGAGAATATTTCCTTTTCTAAATGCTTGCAAGCATTGTGTTGGTAGAATTTACTGCTGACTTTTTTTTATCTTGAGTGTTAACGTAAATTTGCATTTGCCATTTTTTAAATTGCATTTCTATGCAGTTTTTAGTTTAAATTTTTGCATGGCAGTAATTGTTCCTTGCTTTTATAATTCCATTTTGTACATTTTGAATTTCTTTATATAAGGTCATAGATTCTTGAACTGTTATAGTTATTAGTGCAGTTAATATTAGCTTAAGACATTTTTAATTGAGTAGGACAGAAACTATTATAACTGGCATTTATACATGCAAAAACCAATGCAGTATTTAGAATATGACATTTTGAATACAACACATATCAGTGTAAAAACTCAATGGCAGTGTATTCATCATATTAAGAATGTACAAATGTTAGCTGTCCAGATGAGTAAATTGGAATTTTTCTCCTGCATGTATAGATATGTCAATTTGTCAGCATGACAAAAGGGACAGATGTTATTTTTGTATTTTCAAAAACAAATTGGTTGTATATAGTTTTTTTATTTCTTGTGAGATCAATTTTTAAACCCATATAGATAGGTATCTTTACAGTCATAAACTGAAATGTCAATGTTCAGCCAGATGGTATTACAGAGCAGTGGAAGTCAGAATTCAGTAAAGAAAACACCGAAGGACACAAACAGATAGTTCTCTACTTTGCTTTCAAAGTGTCATCGACTTTTAGTTTTAGTTTCAATTCTGCAACCATTGTCTATAGACACATTTTCTATTAAGGATAGGCCAAAATCAATAAATCAGAATTTCAAAAATTTAGGGAAAATTGGGATTAAGTACAAGAACATTGGCTTTTAATAAATGACTGATTTTTTTATTAACTGCTTTTGCCCATATAAAATGCTGGTATTTACAGGAAACCTGGATCTTTATAATTATGACAAAAATTACAAGGTATAATGCTAGTAGAAGATAATTGTGTAGGCAGTGTCTCTGACAAAATATTTCTCAAAAATGGTAAGACTTATTTTTAACATTAAAGAAATTTAATGTATCTGTGGAATTAGAGCTATTGGGTTTTAAATTTTGGCTAAATCAGGATTCTAAGTGATTCAACGTACAGGCCACCCCTGAATGAAACTAATTTGTCTTTTAAATTGACTGTCTTAATCAGTTTAATTATTTCTGAATTTTAAAACATGCTGCTTATGAGAGAATTAGGCCTTTTGATATACCAGTTGAGTATTTAAAATAAAAATATCTTTGCACCATAGAACAGAAATTTGTAAACATCTGTTGGTTGTTAACAGGTATTTTCACAGTTTGATTTGTTTCTTGATAAAATTGTTAAGACGTTAGAAAAAGATACACTTAATAAACGAATGAAATAAACTTAAGACCTACGAATTGGCCTTTGATTTTAAAATATAATTCGTTCCTATAAACTTTGTCAATAAAAGTAATGAACATGCTTTTGTCTCTCACATTTGATATCTTAGAAGTTTTTATAGCATTTACCCTCTGTATGAGAATTTCCGAACATGGGTTTTTAAATGGATTTAGTCCTAGAGACAAGTAATGAGGATTTTAAAAAAATATATACATTTACCATACTTAATATTAAGTAGGTTTTTCCTTTGTAGCACAAGTTTAAGCACCCAGAGACTAAAGTAATAATTTACTGTGAGCCTTTTTAAATGAAAAATATTTTGCATTTATCACTTAAATTATAGCCTATGTAACTGAAGAGTGTTATGCAGTGATTAAGTACACTACAAAGAAATTGCCTGGGAAAACCAGCAGTGATTTACAAAAGTTGATCAAGGTTAACAGTTGTAATTGAAAGGGGCTATAGAGTAATGCCTATGACCTAAAAGGTCTAAGAGAGGGTTTGGAGGTGAAAGGATTGAGTTGATGAGTGTAAAGTTCGTGGTGAAGATGTAACTACTTAATAAGTGTGTTTTCATTACTACAGTGCACAGTGTATTTGAAAAACAAGTCTAGTTTTTATTAAGTAATTTTACACAACAAGCTGTTCACAATCTGCAGTTAAAACACGGTATATTCACAGTTACTTAATTACAAAATCTCCCGAACAAAGAAAAACATATTCAAAGTAACTCAAGAATTTAAAGGAAAGTACCTTAAAAAACAAAATGTCAGATGTAGATACTTGAGACAATGAGGTTTTTTTTATATATACATTTACCATACTTTATTAAGTAGGTTTTCCTTTGAAGCACAAGTTTAAGTGCCCAGAGACGAAAGTAATAATTTACTGTGAACCATTTCAAACGTAAAATATTTTGCATTTATCACTTAACACATGCTATTCTTTAAATGTTTAACACCTTAAAGCGGAACACTCCCTATGTTAACACAAAAGCTAATATCCTTTATTTTTCTTTGATTTGTATCATACTTTGATGGGAGTGGAAATGTGTCCGAGTTCACCAAAAACACCATACATTCTTTGCACATGATACTTTGTATTTATAAGCCGACTCTAAATTTAAAAAATACTATTTTGAGAAGTGGCTTTAAAATTATTTTGCATCCCTTTGTTTTTGAGTCCTTTTTTAAAGCAGATGGATATAATTGAAAAACCTGTTCAGAGGCTTTAAAACAAAAGAACTTGTTATCCATGATTTACCTGTAAACAAATTTCTTGGCAAGTTAAGCATCCTGAAGACCCTGAAAGCAATGTCTATTTTTAATGACATTTTTTTGGTCATGAGTGACAAAAGAAGAAAGGAAGTATTTGCCATGTTCTCAGGCTCTTGATATGGCTTATAAATTATGTAATATTTATCAGGATATCACATTTTCCTGCAGTTTTCCAATGGACCTGCCTATGGAATACTGAAAACATAATTTTGTAAAAAAGACAGTGCGAAGAGGTTTTATTATTCTGACAAGATATTTTGCTAGTAGTTGCCAAAATTAAGGCTATTTAAAGTGTGCCATCTGCCCAAACTTGGCTCAAAGAGAAATAGCCCTGTAGTTTATGTCTAGTATGAAGACCACAATATCTCTACCCCATTTTCAATGGTATAAACGTGGTACTGCTTAAGAATTGGAAATTTTGCTCTTTTGCCAATGAGTGCACAAATCTAAAATGTTTTATCACAAAAGATACCTGAATTTAAATTTCTTTTGAAAATCCAATGGGAAGTATAATATAGTCTAGAAGCTTCAATAACTTGACTGAAAAGTTTGTGCTGTATCCAAAAAGGAAAGATTTCTACCTAAATTTTAAGTAAAAGCTCAATATTGGAGCTATACAAAAATCTTAAGGCTCATTGGCAAAGGTAGTGATAAGTTGTCATAGAAGAAAAATACATGGCTCTATCTGGTTTTTTAATGATTTCTCAGTGTCTGAGTACTGATCAGCTAAACAAAAGATCAAATTTAAGGGACTCTCCAACCATGGAAGAGTCATTTTTCAAGTTCTTAGTTTAAGCCTATATCCTACCTTTTTCTGAAATTCAGATTTAGCACTAGACTTGTGGAAAATGCAATAAAATGTAAGTGCTTATAAATTGGTTCTTAGGGCTAATGCTTTCATAGTGGTGACATGGGTTTACATTATCAAACCACCTTAGGAACAGTTCAGTTTTGTTATCCACAGAGGGTTTTGTTTGATTTTATGAAAGTGAGGTTAACATGTTTCAAACTTTCCCATTGTACAAAAGAAAGCTGGGTCTAGACAGAATCCATTTAAAATGCTGCAATCTTGCTTGCTTCTCGAACGCCGCTCAAATAGGCCCCTGTAACCGTTTGTGGGAAATGTCTGTTTGTTGCCTGTAAAAAATAATTGCATAATTTGAAGTCACATATAAGGAATTCAGGTCATAGTCAAAGATGATACAAACTTATGCCTTCTGATCCTCCTAAACTAAAGACTAGTGCCACTCCTGTGTGCTGATGCTAACGGTACTCACTCATATAGCACTTGACCTTTTCTGGTGATCTTACATGCTTTACCAAACGCATTCATTCTATAATGTATTCAGCACTCCTGTGAAGTATTGTTTGGCATTCAATAAGGTACTTACATATGCCAAATACTGGAATAAAGTACAGTGAATAAGATATAGTGCTTCTCAATAGACAAGTAATCTAGCTCTTAAGTCAGCAATAAATAAAACAAGCACAGAAATTGAATCACATTTAATCCACAGTTAATGCTTTGCTAGATGGGTGGAATAAAAAGATGGAGTTGAGGTAATCGAAGAACAGACCAGTAAAACAGGAAGGGAAAAGTCAAAAGGTTGAGGGGCTGTCAATGGGATAACCTCACTGTCAAGGAGTTTGTAGTGGGAACAATATGCAAACTTAGAACTGGAAAGTAGGCCTGGGATATGGCTACTTTCCCATAAAGTGAAATGGAGTGAGCAAGTTTTGGAAAATGGGTAAGAAACAACATTCCATGTGAGCTACATGGTTAGGTTCCATGTCACCTAAATTGACGGCTGGAGTGAAAGGGATGTGACAAAAACTCCAATAAATGGAAGGATCAGGTCAGCAGGAATACAATTACTATAGGAGAGAGAGTGACTGGTAGAAACCACAAAAAAAAAAAAAAATGGCTTTTATAAGAAAATAACTATCAAAGGAAAGCAAAAAGGTTCTACATCCTGCTCATTATCTAGGGCACATAAGCATAATACGGCCATCACCTGGAAGCAGCTGACTGTTGCCAGATATGCAGCCCTTACACCCTGTTCCTACAAAGCTGGCTCCACAGGCCAAGGACTAAACAAAGATCACTAGTTTCTAAATGATGGTCTTTTGTGATCATTTTAAAATTATTAGAGCCGAAACCAGTTTGGCTCAGTGGATAGAGTGTCAGCCTGTGGACTGAACTGAAAGGTCCCAGGTTCGATTCCGGTCAAGGGCATGTACCTTTGTTGCGTGCACATCCCCAGGAGAGGTTGTGCAGGAGGCAGCTGATCAATGTTTCTCTTTCATCGATGTTTCTAACTTTCTATCTCCCTTCCTCTCTAAAAAAAATCAAAATACGTTTTTTAAAAATTATTAGAAAAAGTAAAAACACCCACTCTATTGTAGCTAAAGCTAGAGACTGTGATAATTCCAAACTATAACATACTAAGAATGAAAGCAGATAAAAGTGCTGAGAAATCACTGCTAAGTTTTGGGGGGTAGGAGAGGATGAAGTAATAAAAGCAAGCTAATTTACCCCAAAGAATCCTTAAAAAGTCTCAGCCACTGAGCACCAGGAACCATGCAGGCAGAGAGGTTTGGCATAGGTGAAAACAGAATTAAGGCTATGAAGAGCATTCTGGTCCCTCCCCAGGTTTCCCACTGCATTTGCTATATTCCCACCAACTCCAGTGTGTCTGATGGAGAGGGTAGAGGTAAGTGCCAAACAAAAGGATGATTAATTGAAGTCTTCATAACTAAGGCTTCAGACTCCAAAAAGTAAAACAAGAAAGAAGATCGCTCACATTAGGATAGTTATAAAAAAAAAAAAACCACTGTGGTATTGAGGATGTGCAGAAACTTGAACTCCTGTGCCCTGTTGTTGCAAGTGGAAAACAGTTGCTATGGAAAACTATAGTGGATCTAAACCTTAAAAACAGGATTAGTATATGATCCAGCAATGAATGTCTCTTCTGGGTAAATAGCCAAAAGAACTGAAAGGTTTTTTTTTAGAACTGAAAGGTTCTTGAGATATCTGTACACCCATGTTCACAACAGCATTGTTCGTAAGAGAATTTTTTAAAAAGGTATTAGAAACTCAGGTGTCCATGACAGATTAATGAGGAAATAAAATGTGATATCCTATCTAATAAAAGAACAATATGCAAATTAACTATCACTCCGCTCCACAAGCCACGCCCACCAGCCAATCAGAGCGAGTATGCAAATAAACCAAACCAAAATGGCTACAGCTACAGAGAGCAGGAGGGAGGCGTTTCCCTGGTAATGGAGGAAGCCAAGCTTTCCACCTACCCTTGCCGGCCTAAGCCTCCACTCAAGGCTAAAAAGATTAAATTAAAAAAGCAAACAAATCCAAACAGAAAGGGCTGCCGCCACTGAGCAAGCAGGAGGCTTGGCTTCGCTCTAGGCTACAAAGTTTCAATTGTAGAAAATAAATATATCCCTGATACCAAGGCCACCACAGGCCCCTCGCTCAGGCTGGCCCATGCCCCAAGGGAACCCCCATCCTGATCCAAGACACCCTTCAGGGCAAACCAGCTGGCCCCCACCCCTGTACCAGACCTCTATCCTATCTAATAAGAGTAATATGCAGATTGACCATCATTCCAACACAAAATATGGCTGCCCCCATGTGGTCAAAGATGACTGCCCCCATGTGGACACAAGATGGCCAGCAGGGGAGGGCAGTTGGGAGGGACCAGGCCTGCAAGGGAGGGCAGTTGTGGTTGATCAGACAAATAGGGAGGGCAGTTGGGAGGCACCAGGAATGCAAGGGAGGGTAGTTGAAGGCGATCAAACCTGCAGGGGAGGGCAGTTAAGGGTGACCAGGCTGGCAGAGGAGGGAAGTTGGGGGTAAATGGGCTGGCAGGAGAGTAGTTAGACATCAATCAGACTGGCAGGGGAGTTCTTAGGGGTGATCAGGCTGGCAGGCAGAAGTGGTTAGGGGCAATCAGGAAGGCAGGCAAGCAGTTGGGTGCCAGCAGTCCTGGATTGTGAGGGGGATGTCCGACTGGGATTGGGCCTAAACGGGCAGTCAGACATCCCTCGAGGGGTCCCAAATTGGAGAGGGTGTAGGCTGGGCTGAGGGACAACCTTCCCCCCCCCTTTCCCATGCACGAATTTTGTGCACGGGCCTCTAATATACATATAATGGAGTATTATTTAGTCTTAAAAAGGAAGCGCATTCTGACACATTACAACACAGATGAAACTTAAGGACATTATACTCAGTGAAATAAGCCAGTCACAAAAGGAAAAGCATTGTATGATTCCACTTATATAATGATGTTCCTTGAACAAATCCATAAAGACAGAAAAGTGGTAGCTGCCAGGGGCTGAGGTGAGGCGTTATTTAATGGGGACAGTTTCAGTTTTGTAGGATGAAAAAGTTCTGGATATGGATGGTGGTAATGATTGTACAACAGTGTGAATGTATTTAATGTCATTTAACCGTACACTTAAATAGTTAAGACAGTAAATTTTGTTATGTGTGGTTTATCACAATGTTAAAAATAGATATATAAAAAGAAGAGAGGGGTCTGAGCCCTACACGAGGCTCCCCAGCCAGGGATTCCAGTGCCAGGAAGAGAAGTCCCCATAATATTTGGTAGTAAAAACCAGTGGGGATTGTGGCTGTGACACAGAGGCTGCTGGAGTACCAGGCAGTTCCTCTTAAAGGGCTCATGCATAGATTTATTCAGACTCATTTCCTCTGAGCTCCAGCACCAGGGCAACAGCTTGAAAAGCACCAGACATAAAGGGAGGAACTGAATTGTTTGGCATTAGAGCGAGAACTGGAGGGGCATCTTTCTTCCCAACGGAAGTGCTGGCAGAAGCAACTGTTCCTTTTCTGAGCCCACCTCTGAGAGCTAGCAGACAGGTGCCATATATGAGTCTCCATCAACTTGGCTCACACTGTTGGCCCTGTCCTGATGATTCCCTGAGACCCTTCCCCACTCAATTGCAAGCCCACTGAAGCATTTTCCAGTGGCTTTTCTATACAAACTGCTGTCTTGACTCATATACTTCAGACTTTCCTAAAGTTTCGCAAACAAGCAGCATCTGGCCTTGGTGTGCCCAGTATTTCTTGCTAAGTGGCCCCAGGCCCAGCACACTAACAGCAGCAGGCCTTGGTTAGCAACTAGACTTCACCTGGACACCTCCAAGCCAGCACAAGTAGCAGCAATTTTCCGATCACTTAGTATCTTATGCTGGGGGCCCCAGGCAGAATACAAAAGGCGGCTAACCTAGGCTTGCACCTCCAGGGAGGCCTCAGAGCCACTGCAACTGGTGGACAGCTTTAGGCCATGTTGAAGCACCACCCAACCACATCTGTAATACTTTCAAATAATAAAGATAAATAAAAATAAACACACACACACACACACACACACACAATAACATGCAAAAGGTTAAAGACAAAAAGAATCTTAAAAACAGGAGAAAAACAAGGGAGCACCCATAAGACTGTCAGCTGATTTGTCAACAGCAACTTTTCAGGCCAGAAGGGAGTGGCAAGAAATATGCAAAGTGATGAAAAGAAGGATCTACAACCAAGATGACTCTACCCAGCAAAGCTATCATTTAGAATTAAAGGGCATTTAAAGAGCTTTCCAGATTAAGAAAAAGCTAAAGGAATTTATTACCACCAAACCATATTACATGAAATGTTCAAGAGTCTTCTTTCAAAGGAAGAAGATTAAAAATATGAAAAAAAGCAATAAATATATATCAACAATTGAATCTGAAAAACAGAAACAAGCAGAACAGAAACAGACTCATGGTACAGAGAACATTTTGATGGTTGCCAGATGGGAGGGGGTTGGCAATGGCTGAAAAAGGTGAAGGGATTAAGAATTACAAATTGGTAGTTACAGAATAGTCATGGCAATGTAAGCTACAGCATAGGGAATATAGTCAATAATAATTCTAATAACTGTGTATGATATCAAATGTGTTTGAAATTTATCAGGATCTTTTAGTAAGTTATGTGATATCTAATCACTGGAATGTATACCTAATACTAATATACACTGAGTGGCAGAATACAAGAGGCGGCTAACACATAATAATCTGGCCACTCGGTGTATATCCTATATAATAAAAGGCTAATATGCAAATTGTCTCCTTGACCAGGAGTTCGACCAGTAGGCAGGCCAACCAACCGCCCATATTCCCCACCCATGCATGAATTCATGCACCAGGCCTCTAACACACACACACACACACACACACACACACACACACACACACTCACTCACTCACTCTAGAGGCCCGGTGCACAAAATTCGTGCAGGGGGGGAGAGGGATTCATCCTCAGTCCAGCCTGCACCCGCTCCAATCTTTGACATCCCTCTCACAATCCAGGTCTGCTGGCTCCCAAATGCTCGCCTGCCTGCCTTCCTGACTGTCCCTAACTGCTTCTGCCTGCCAGCCTGATCACCCCCTAACCACTCCCTTGCCAGCCTGACTGATGTCTAACTGCTCCCCTGCCAGCCTGATTGCCCCTAACTGCCCTCCCCTGCAGGCTTGCTTGCCCCCAACTGCCCTCCCTTGCAGACATGGTCCCTCCCAACTGCCCTCCCCTGCTGGCCTAATTGCCAACAACCTCCCTCCCTTGCAGGCCTGGTCCCTCCCAACTGCCCTCCTGTTGGCCATCTTGTGGTGGCCATCTTGTGTCCACATGGGGCAGCCACCTTGGGTGTTGGAGTGACAGTCAATATGCATATTACTCTTTTATTAGATAGTATATACACTGAGTGGCCAGATTATTATGCATTCAGAGATTATAATAATCTGGCTACTCAGTGTATACTGTATGTCAACCATAGTTGAAAAATTAAAAAATATTTAAAGTTAAAAAAAAAAGAAATAAGCTAGTGGAAAAAAAAAAAGGGGGGGGGGGGGCGCTTATTATGACTGCATAAGAATGCAATCAATGAACACCCTGGCTTGGCAGTAAGCAACATTTACCTAGTCATATCACCTAAACACTGACAGCAACTTCATTGTGAAATAACAATGTTGTGAAGTGAGTAAATGGGCTAAATCTTTAACCTGATAGAAAGTCAGTAGATAAAGTCTAATTCGTTAAATCAGAAGACAATATAAATATTTTAAAACATAAAGAAAATTCCAGAAGATATAACAGAAAGAGTTAAAAACTGCTCTAGGATTTTAAGAGGACTTTTAGGGGGCATCTGTTGTTTGTCATCATAAGTCTTGACAGTATCTGACACAGGTTTTAAACTCTGGACATAGATCACTTTAATTAAAATAAAGTACTCAAAATAAAAGTAATTGGGTTCAGGATCACGACACACACCTCGCCAGCAAAGAAGAGGGTTCCTTGTATTTCTTCAGCAATGATGTCGTAGGCTTCACCGCTCCCACCTGTCTTCACAAAACTGTATGCCATTTGGATCCAGGGGTCTGTGTTCCACCGAGTGACAAAATACTTTGTGGGATCTGGGACTTCCTGTGTTGATGTGAAGCAATCATAAAGTGGGATCAAGAAGGGAGATGGATATGATGCAACACAAGAATATACATTCAGTCTTCCTTCCCATAGAAGTTGAGCTCCTTGTAGCCATTCTGAAACAGCCATTCTCAGTGTGTTCCTCTGAACCCAGTATGACTCTCCCAGTATCTGTGCACTATTCTCTACCTCTTGCCCCAGCTCTGCAACCTACCCCCACTTGCATCTCCTCACTTTTCACTTTATCCTTCTGCCACACACACATTCTCCCCCACCTACCTGGGGCCATCACCACTGGCTAAGCGTTTGGGCATTCCCTTCCCACAGCCTGGCCTGTGCCACAGAGAAAGAAAGGACCGAAACCGGTTTGGCTCAATGGATAGAGCGTCGGCCTGCGGACTGAAAGGTCCCAGGTTCGATTCCGGTCAAGGGCATGTACCTTGGGTTGCGGGCACATCCCCAATAGGGGGTGTGCAGGAGGCAGCTGATTGGTGTTTCTCTCTCATCGATGTTTCTGGCTCTCTATCCCTCTTCCTTCCTCTCTGTAAAAAAATCAATAAAATATATTAAAGAAAGAAAGAAAGAAAGAAAGAAAGAAAGAAAGAAAGAAAGAAAGAAAGGAGGGAGGGAGGGAGGGAGGGAGGGAGGGAGGGAGGGAGGGAGGGAGGGGAGGGGAGGGGAGGGGAGGGGAGGGGAGGGGAGGGGAGGGGAGGGGAGGGGAGGGGAGGGGAGGGGAGGGGAGGGGAGGGGAGGGGAGGGGAGGGGAGGGAGGGGAGGGAGGGGAGGGAGGGGAGGGAGGGGAGGGAGGGGAGGGGGGGGAGGGGGGGGAGGGGGGGGAGGGGGGGAGGGAGGGAGGGAGGGAGGGAGGGAGGGAGGGAGGGAGGGAGGGAGGGAGGGAGGGAGGGAGGGAGGGAGGGAGGGAGGGAGGGAGGGAGGGAGGAAGGAAGGAAGGAAGGAAGGAAGGAAGGAAGGAAGGAAGGAAGGAAGGAAGAAAGAAAGAAAGAAAGAAAGAAAGAAAGAAAGAAAGAAAGAAAGAAAGAAAGAAAGAAAGAAAGAAAGAGTCTCTGGCCCAGAGTCGGAAAGGGAAGACTGGAGTTCTGGGGCCTTAGGGTGAAATTTTCAACAGGCTCCTCCACAGAAGGCTACCCTAGGATCTGTTTCACAGAGTTTTAAATCATTTTATAGGCTGACTTCTGACAACCACCACCATCAAAAAGATTTATATAGAAACTATATCCTTAGATCTGAATAACTAATTTGAAAACAAATTTTGGACAAAGACACATAGCTAGAGACTACAGTGAAATACAATCACATCATGCATAAGTTAACACCCCTCGTGCCTCTCCCTAATTTATGTAACTTCTGAGTCATTTCACTTCTTTTGACTTCTGTTCCTTTAAATGAAAAAGATGCAAGCCACACCATTTATAAATCTGCTGAGACTGTGAGATTTAGAAAGTTGGCAAATAAAAAAGTATCCCATCTCCTTTGAGAGAAGACGGAAAAGAGACTAGCTACACATGTGGAGTACGAGAAAATTTTAGACAATGTCCCTTTAAAAGGGAAGTTGTTGCCAAAGACTATGGGGTTTGGGTAAATGCAGGCTCTACGGGAAATCCTGAGCCTTTTACATCCTTAGGAAAGAAAGGGGGTGTGCATGATGTGAGGGAAAGGGAAGGAAGATAATAGTGTAAGAGGGATTGTGTACTGTTATGAGCTACATTTGTGTCTGCTAAAATCCTTATGTTGAAGCCTTAATCCCCACTACTTGATAATGTGACTAAATTTGAGAAAGAGCCTTTAATGATGTAATGAGACATTAAAATGGGGTCGTTGGGGTGGGCCTTAGTCCAACATGATTACTGTTCTTAAGAGAACACAGAGAGGCAGCCATGAGAGGTCACAGCAAGAAAGCAGCACCTGTCAGCCACAGAGAGAAGCCTCAAGGCAACCAAACCTGACGACACCCTGGTCCTGGACTTGTAGCTTCCAGAATGGTCAGAAAACAAACCTCCATGTTTAAACCACCCAGGCCATGGTATTCTGTTATGGCAGCCCTAACACACTAATGCAGGAGAACTTGGGTGGACAGTTGAATATCGGAAGAGAGACTAACGGGGGCCACGGCCTTGATTCCTTTTGCCTGGCAGCGACGGCTTGCTCTGGCTGCACCGCGCTGGAGGGCAGGGGTCGCTGACCTGTTCCTTGAACAGCTCCCGGAGCGTGGCCATGCACTGCTGCAGCACCTGCTTGTCGTCCAGGTTCCGCAGGGAGGCCACCGCCTCCCCAGCAATCACCGACATCAGCACGCTGTGCTTCTTCTGGACGCACGAAAGGGAAAAGCAGTTTACACCTTCTGCTTTGGTAAAATGTTCAGTTCTAAAGAAATGGAGTCACTCTCACCAATAAAATTTCATTATTTCCTACTGTCCCCTATAAAGGGGACAATCTGTTTTCCTCACAAGAACTCGTTATTCACCTACGCATTTTGTTATTGTTCCCTGCTGAAGAGACTCAAGCAGCAGCATAAGGATCAAATTCAGGGTTCTCTTGGCTTTTCCCTTATACGAACTTGTTTTAGAAGTGTTACAAGGTTGTGTAGGAAAGGCTAGGGATAAAAAATGGAAAGAACTCACTCAAATGGTAAAGAAAATTTTGCCCTGGGCTCTGATGTGAAACCTTTTAAGATGTTTCTTGCAATGGAGACAGAAAAGAAACAACTGGGATTCTTTTGCCTGACGTCAGCACTGCCATACATTTCAAGTGGTGAGTATGCCCTCCCCTTTTTGATGCCCACCAATCCTATCTACTGGCATGGAGACCTGCCTTCACCCGGGCCAATCACATCTCACCCTTCACAGCACCACTGGGGGACCAGTGGAGAGTGCTCTCCAAGCACCACTCACTGCTGTGCTGCTGTGGCCTCTCCCTGAGGAGTTCCCCCATCAGCCTGAAGTAACAGTTTCCACAAGTGACTAACTCATTTCCCACGCAGGAACATTAGTACTTCGAGAAAATATGGCGGATACTGGGGCTCCTCTCCTACAGGAAAACGTCCCAGTCCAAGAATCCTCCCAGAATATAAACAAATATCCAGAGTGTCCATAATGTCATTAGTTTCTGAGCTCAATATGTAAATAATTACCACAGATTTTAAACTGTGATAAGGGAATTCAAACCATACTTCACCAATAATTTTACCTGGGGATCCATGTCATAGAACACAGCAAAAAGCCCTCGCTTGCTGGCACTAGGAGGAACATGCCCGAAAAAGTCCGCTCCTTGAACTTTACTGTCCCAAAATCGATAAGGAAATTGCAAGGCAATCTGGAAAGTGAGCAAGAGGAAGATGGCTAAGAGTTTCTTGAATCAAAAATACAGCAATCTAAGAAGTAACCTATGGCTCGTAACTAACACTACATTCAAAAAACCCTCACTACTCCCTTACATTCTCCCACCTCCTTTCTTTCCATGAGCATCTGGCCTTTTATGTCCCTCACTGACAGCCTCTAGGCAAAACTAAAATGCAAAGCACCCCGAGACATGGCCTTGTGGCTTATGTCCATAAAATACATTCTGACTCCTCATAGGTATAGGTCTGCAATACCTGCTGCAGCACTGGCAGATTCCACTGAAAGAGATTTTAAAGGCAGAGAGGAAAAAACATTCTCCTCTTTGGGGCTAATTAATGGAGGGCAAATGTGGGAAAGCAGAAAAAAAGTATTTACTTATATACCAAGTTCGAATTATGAATAACAAGATTGATCCTCCTGAGGTTAAAATTCACAAACCTCAGCTAGCTTTCCTTATCCTATCTAATAAAAGAGTAACATGAAAATTGACCATCACTCCAATAAACAAGATGGCTGCCCCAATATGGTCAAAGATGGCAGCCCCCATGTGGACACAAGATGGCCACCACAAGATGGCTGGCAGGGGAGGGTAGTGGTGGGTGATCAGGCCAGCAGGGAAGGGCTGTTAGGAGGGACCAGGCATGCAGGGAAGGTCAGTTGGGGGTGGGGGGACCCTGGCCTGCAGGGGAGGGAAGTTGGAGATGACCAGGCCTGCAGGGGAAGGCAGTTGGGGGGAACTAGGCCACCAGGGGAGAGCAGTTAGGGGCGACTAGGTTGGCAGGGAGGGCAGTTAGGGGCAATCGGGCCAGTAGCGGGGCAGTTAGGCATCAATCAGGTCGGCAGGGGAGTGGTTAGGGGGTGATCAGGCTGGCAGGCAGAAGCAGTTAGGGGCAATCAGGCAGATAGGCAGGCGTGCAGTTGGGAGCCAGCAGTCCTGGATTTTAAGAGGGATGTCCCAGATTGAAGAGGGTGCAGGCTGGACTGAGGGACACAATCCCCTGCACAAATTTCATGCACCAAGACTCCAGTCTTTTCATAATGTCCTTTTGTATTCTGTAGGAATAATTATTCAAATGAAAAGGAAAGCTTCAAATTTTACTGGGACACAAAAATTACCCACTACTTCTCAATATCAGAATCTAAGGAACTCCTGTCATCTGGCATTAATCTCTGTGGTTCTGGTTTAGGATTACACTTAAGTAATCACCTTTTCAATGATGCCTGCGCCTAAGCTGTTGATGGCCTTCATCTTCTTGTCGGACAGCGGCGGATTAAACTGAAGGGCGCCTTTCTGCAGTAAGGCCAGTGGGACAGTGACTAACGCCTGTGGAGAATAATTAACAGTTAAAACGCAAGCAGCAACTGGACCGCATGCCCCTACAACTCTCCAAGGAAAATCAGAACATTCCTCTCTACTGCCAGGCATCAGCTGGTCAACATCCCAGGCTATTACACTCATAAGACCAAGGGCTGCCATGTACACTTGAAGGTTGTTCACTGCACAGGGTGCATGGCTGAGCAGACGTGGCACCCACGTGGAGGAACTTGAGGAAAGGACTTGATGATTTACAATAACCCCAGAACAGTCAACAGATCCCAATCCTGAAAAGCAGTGCTATAAGAAGAAATGTGCCTAATGTGGAGTGAGGAGAACTCGACTAGGGTATCATTCCTGACATTTCTAATGAGTGGCCAAGCTAATACCTGCCCTCCTAACCTCAACAGACTGGGGTCATGTTTCAAACAAAAACCCTTACAATATACATCCATATGCTTCATAAATGATAAAGCACTCACAAACACTAGAGATTATTATAATCATGTAAAACCACATGACATTTTTTAAAAAGAGAAAGCAATTTATTGCAGGGTCTCTAATGACTTACGGAAGTGAAGTGAAAGCCAGACTATACCTTCCAAATCATACAGGTGCATTTGTATGACCAAACCATTTCTTATTGAGAGCTTCAGCTGCAAAGAAATCTGGGAAACTGTGTGTGTGTGTGTGTGTGTGTGTGTGTGTGTGTGCGCGCGCGCACACGCGCGCATGCCACTCGCTGACTTTCCATCATCTACAGTGCAGGATAACAGGAGATGGGGAGTGGAATGAAGCTGAATGCCAAGCACTATATCTACCGTGGCCTTCATCAAAGATTTAGTGTATTTGGCTTGAACTCCAAACTCCATGATCACAGGAAATTCAGAGTTCTCCCTGGGATTTTGGATATATAAATAAAACTACAAGAATATAAGGTTTAGAGGCTTTCTTAACAAAAAAGCTTTCAAAGCACAGAAATGTGGGTTAACTAATCAGCACAGGATATGAACAGACCCTGGTAATGAATAAAGCTAGATTATCAGTAGAAGCAGCCTAGATTGAATTACAGTTTGTCAAATGTTTTATCCGTGCATCCTGTTGGGTGGGAAATCTTTCACTTATACACTGGGGAAACTTCCCATTCAAACCATGTGATGTGTGCTGACAACCATAAATATTTGCTTTCAACCTTCAGGGCAGGCTTTGAAAGGCAGGCTGAAGCTATGCCCTCATATCCCTGGAGAGCCAGAACACAAAGAAAGCTGAGCTAGCATGCCTGATCAGGGTCAGCAGAGGGGGCCCAGCAGGGCGAGTCTAACTAGCATGTGATCCTAGATGCCAAAAGGCCAAGTTATGAAATACCAAAGGTTGAAGTATTGGCTGACTTGCAATTTTAAAGAAGAGGATTTTTATTTTATTATTTTTTTTAATTACCACTAGTTAGAACTTGATAGATTAGCCCGATTCTCTCTGGGCTCACAGATACGAACACTGTGGCCCAGGGTGCTCCACTCTGGCTGCATGTTATAATCACTTAGGGAGCATTACAAACACGACCAGACCATTTCAGTGAAAGTCCCTGCAGGGTCAGGTTTTGCAGCTTTTCTTTATAAAAACTAAAAAACACAAACATATTTTTATTGATTTCAGAGAGGAAGGGAGAGATATAAACATCAATAATGAGAGAGAATCACTGATAGGCTGCCCCCTACTGGGGATCAAACCCTGACCTCCTGATTCATAGGTCAATGCTCAACCACTGAACCACGCCAGCCGGCCATTGCAGCCTTTCTTTTAAGGCACCTTTCAGGTGATTCCGATGTGCAGCCAGGACTGGAAACCACTATCAGTCCCAAGTCTGCAGCACCACTGCTAACTACCCAGCTAGCTAAAGGCAGGAGCCCATCCCTTGGACTCAGACCTCGTCTTTCCATTTGACATGCAATCCTTTATTTGTATGTGACTATCAAGGACTGTAAAATACTTTAGATAATTGAAAGGTATAAAACATAGCTAGGTGATAGTCTATCAATTGTACTTTTTGGTAATCATTTCAGACATAACTAAATTTAAGTACACTTATGAGTTTATTAGTCCCCTCCACTCCAAGTAAGCACTTTGTTCTCCAACACTACAGAAATCTCTGTGATTTCACATATTATATTACAGCACTTTACACTGTCCACCTACATAAGTGGTTTACAAAGAATTCAAATAATACCCTGTTTCCCCGAAACAGTGTCTTATATTAATTTTTTCTCCCAAAGTTGCACTAGGTCTTATTTTCAGGGGATGTCTTATCTTTCCATGCACTAGGTCTTATTTTTGGGGGATGTCTTATTTTCGGGGAAACACGGTATAAAAGTACAACTGCAGTTTCAAAATGAAAACACAGATCCTTCTTGATTTTGAAAAAATGGTTCCATGATAAAACAAAGAACAATAAAAAGCCCTACCAACCTGGAAAACACTGAATTAAAGTAAAATAGGTTTTTTTTGAATGCAGGACCTTTCAGAATCTTTAATATGCTTTTTAGCCCTAAAACTGAACTGTAACAGACAATACTTTCCAAACTTATGTGGCCAAAGAACTTATTTTTCTTGTGCAATTACCAGTACTATTGTACCACAGAACCCAGTTTAAGAAACACTAATCAAAATTCTATCTGCATGAATCTGTACAGTGTTAGATTAGTTAAATCAGATTTGCATATTCACCACACAAAAAACTCTTCAGAAATCAAACAAGGCTCCAGGCAGGTTGCCAAAGGCCAACTTCTTGGTAGAAAAGACATCTTTCCCTTACTGCCAAGCCCCTGAAACACCTAGAAAGATTCTAGCACTTACCTTCTGTGCTGTGTATGCTGTCCCATCTGTCGTGGTAACTTGTACTTCATCTCCAGAATAATCAACCTTCTGTACCTGTTCGAGAAAAACAGAAAAGCATCATGGAACCACATGACCCAGGACCCTTCCCAGTTCTTGTAGTATGTGAGTTTATGGGAATGGGAAATCATTTCCTGGCATTCAGAGATCGAAACAACAGTGACAGCCTATTTCAGGGAACTACCGCTCAGCCATTAAAATTCATAAACATTATGTCAAAATGTGTCAAACCTTTATAATGTAGTGTGATATTTGCCTTTATGACAATGTGTAATGCACATGCACAGGGGCAAAGATTTAAAAGGAAAGCTTTAAAGTGTAAATAACTGCTTTGGGTCAGGAATGTAGTGAGCAACTAGGACACTTTATTGTTAATGAAAATGCATCTGCGCTACTGTTCCCAAACAGTAGCAACTACACAACTGACATGGAAGGTACTAGGAGCGTATCACAGAAATACGTGGAGGCACCGATTGACAGTCACTGCAAGTCCCTGTCTCCTGTGTCAACTACGTGCCCCAAACTTCACATCCATCAAGACTAAGGCCAAGCCAGAGCTGTTGTACTCACTGGAGATTTGAGCCGAATATCTAGTCCTTCAGCCAGTTTTTCAATGATGACGGAATAGCCAGGAGTTAGGAGAGTATGGTCACCAGCAAACTGGGCAAAGAACTCGTTGTGGTCCCAGGAGCGAGCAGACACCTGGGAAACAACAGGAGAGGCTGGGAACAGAAGAGGGGTTCCCACCTCCTCTTGAGGCTGCACGGAAGGGACAAGAAAGAACTCCAAGATGAGAAAAGCCACTTGAGATAGGAAGGCAGGGCTGTTGTGAATAGGGCAAAAACACGATTGGAGGGAGGGGACACGAAGACCAACCCAGGTGAATCCCCTGTTGGGGAAGGAAATTGCTCACCAGTGCACAGGAAAGCTACAAAAGATAGACATGATTTGGGTGTGGGTACCACTCCTCATTAAAAATAAAATCAACAACCCCAGAAAAGGGGAATTCTATGAGACTAAACTGCATTTGATCAACTCCATATAAAAATATACCAACTATAGGTCTTCAACATGGAAACTCTACAGAGGTTGAAATGCAGCATGATTTTGGAAAACAGTGCTATTCCAATCACCACGAAGAATCAAATGAACATGAAGAGGTCCCAAAGAGGACAATTCGGTCAGGGGCCATCCGTGGAGTCACTATTCAAAATATAGAATATTTAAGTGTCAAAATCACGGTTAGTTAAATAAATTAGGCAAGTTTAAATTTATTTTAGCAAAATAAACAGACCATCACTGCAAGGACACTCTTTCTGGGTCTTTTGGGAGCAGTGTTTTCAGACCACGCAGGGTTCCACAGAACGCCCCCGAGGCCTCGCTGAACACGGGAGGAGGGGTGAACGCACAGGCCCTCCCCACTTCAGCCCAGCAGCCCCCGTGTTAGGGTTACACACTGAGCTTCTTCACAGGCATTATTGGGGGAAAAAAATTTTTCCCCCCAAAACCACTGTGAGGTCATTAATATGTTCTGAAATCATGGTTTTCAAACTTTTTACAAGAAAATTTATCTTGACTGTTGCAGCAAAACCATTGTTTCCTGTTTATCCAAAGCAGCCCAAGCTCGATAAGGAAATGACATAAAGTATACACAGAACATGCACCCCGAGGCGCGCGGGGCCAGCCCACCTGGTGGAGGTTGCTGCCACATGCGTACTCCAGGTTGCTGAGGTGGAACTGCAGCACCTGCTCCTCCAGCTCGCTGAAGTGGATGCCGGACTCCTTGATGAAAGCTTTGTAGATCTCCTCGATCTTCTCTGAAACGGGGGTGGGCCAAAGCGGAGAAAGCAGCTTCAGCAGCGTTCTCTGACGCCTTACCTTTTGCTCTCAACCTCCTTCAACCCACAAAACCCAAAACCTCGGAAGCCCTTTCCTGAGCCAACGCAGGGAAAGGACGTCTGGATGAGGTTGGCTTCTCTCGGGAAGGAAAAGTGCATCTTAACCGGGAACAGAGCTGTGTAGGTTCTGTATCTCCAACCACGTCTCATTTCTGCTCAGCTGAGAAGTGGTTTCTTCTTTTGCCCAAGATACAGAAAAGCATGGCAGGACACTCAGAGAGGATGCCCAAGCCTTCTGGTCACATTGCCATCACCTTCAAATCGAGTTTTTACAACATCCCGCCTCAGCTGGAGGATCTGTGATACACTGGCCATTGGCTATGTTCTCTCCGCAGTAACAATACTTCACCATGAACTGCCATCACATCAGCCCTCTGCCTCAGCACCTTTAATTACTGGTCCTCGCTGCCTGTGTAATAAACCCAAAACCCACAGCCAGACTGTGCCAGCACGTTTTTAGCCTTTCCAAACTCAGCACCACCACCTGCCCACTCACAGGCTCTGCTACAGAATCTCTTCCTGGCCCTGCGGGGCCTGGACTGCACCCCTCACCACAGCCCCCTACCCCACCCGCTCCCAGGCCAGCGGCAGGGACTCTGCACGCCTCAGAAATCGCATCTTATCTAACCACAGGCACTTAACTATCCCACTCAACTGGAACTGACTACACACACACAGCACTGTGAAGCCATTCCATCTTGGACTCTTCTCTGGGGGGGAGGTGAGAGAGACTCACGACTGACAAATGTAAGAATCTTAGGCCCAATCACTTCTCCATCCCCTTCCTGGGAGATGGCCATGCAAGCAAGGCACACACTGCAGACACACAGCTTCTATGGAGCACTGCGAACTTGCTTGACTAGCGACAGAACTGAGTGCCAGTCGACTTTTTTGTTTTCTAGACAACTCAAGATTCTCATTCAAAATTTCCGTTCTCCCACTAGACTGTGACGTGGGGATGCCACGGCACCTCTGGATTTGCGCCAGGCTGTTGGCCACAGACCACCAGGTGCTTTTTAAAAAAAAAAAATCACTTTCAGAACCATCTGTAGCAATCCCATTTCTGCCTCCTGTTGTTTCTATTTTCCTTAGGTGTTGTAGAGGCCAAGAACCAAGATTGTTGGAACAATATACAAAATTAAGTATAAATAGGTTGAGAAAAGTCTAAACGAAACTTTTATGTAAATACTATCTAAAAGCTTTAGTAAACGTGTTTTGTGAAATTAACTAACTTCCTAATATATATATATATATATATATACACACACACACACACACACACACACACACACACACACACACTCTAGAGGCCCAAAATTGCACAAAATTCATGTGGCTGGGGGGGGGGGGTGGTCCCTCAGCCCAGTCTGCACCCTTTCCAATCTGGGACCCCTCGAGGAACATCCAACTGCCCCTTTAGGCCCATCTTCCCGGTGGGATCAGGCTTAAACGGGCAGTCGGACATCCCTCTCACAATCCAGAACTGCTGACTCCCAACTGCTCGCCTGCCTGCCATTCTTATTGTCCCTAAGTGCTTCTGCCTGCCAGCCTGATCGCCCCTAACCACTCCCCTGCCAGCCTGATTGATGTCTAAGTGCTCCCCTGCCAACCTGTTTGCCCCCAACTTCCCTCCTCTGCCAGCCTGGTCACCCCTAACTGCCTTCCCCTGCAGGGTTGATCACCCCCAACTGCCCTCCCTTGCAGGCCTGGTCCCTCCCAACTGCCCTCCCCTGCTGGCCATCTTGTGGTGGCCAACTGTGTCCACGTGGGGGCAGGATCTTTGACCACGTGGGGGCAACCATCTTGTGTGTTGGAGTAATGATCAATCTGCATATTACTCTTTTATTATCCTATCTATTTTATTAAATAGATAGGATAAATACCTGATGCATGGGTGGGGGCCAGCTGGTTTGCCCTGATGGGTGGGGGTTTCCTTGGAGCATGAGGTGGCCTGGGTGAGGGGCCTGTGGTAGTTTGCAGGCCAGCCACACGCCCTGGCAACCCAAGTGGAGGTCCTGGTATCTGGAATTTATTTACCTTTTACAATTGAAACTTTGTGGCCTGGAGCAGAGCCAAGCCTTTTGCTTACTCGGTGGCTGCCGCCATTTCTGTTTGGATTTGTTTACCTTCTATAATTGAAACTTTGTAGCCTTGAGTGGAGGCTTAGGCCTGCAAGGGCAGGCGGAAAGCTTGGCTTCCTCCATTGCCTGGGAAACCCAAGCCTCCCTCCTGCTCTCTGTGGCCACAGCTATCTTGGTTGGGGTTAATTTGCATACTCGCTCTGATTGGCTGGTGGGCATGGCTAGTGGTCATGGCTTGTAGGTGTAGTGGAGTGGGCATGGCTGGTGGACGTGGCTGGTGGGCGTGGCTTGTGGGTGTGTGGTCAATTTACATATTACTCTTTTATTAGGTAAGATTTTTTTTTTCAGCTAAGTGCTAATAAAGATCTAAGCTGAGATGCTACTAGGAGGATATAATTAACCTTATATAGAGATGTGGGCATTATTAAAGCTTTTCAAAAAATATTATAAAACAACTACTTACACAGTAAGTATTGCTAACCCTCCCTTATTTTAAGTAAGGCCAACACAAAGCTACATTATTACATTTTTATTTGCTGACACTGAAAGAAGTCTAAAGAAAATGCCATCCAGCGACCACCTCACATGTGAAAACCAATACCAAATCCTGAGAACTCCCTGAAAGTCAGCCTCATAACTATCCTCAATCCCAGAAAATTCAACCACTCGCCACTTGGTCTGGACACTATGGCATAAAATAAAACGGCCCCTGTTGATCCCAGTAAGTTTCTGAAAACATTCTGTTATGATCTATCAGCACTCACCTAGGCGGTCAGTCTCAGGGGAGGGCGGCTAAACAACAGGAGACAGCCTGACCTGCTTCTGAGAAGTTACCCCAAACAGAGACCAATACCAGAATGAGAAACTAAAAATCCTCACAAAGAAACATATAGTTGAAGCAAATTAACAGTCTAAATGCTTTCAACAATAAATAAAAATATTTTTTTTAAAAGCAGAAAAACAAATCCTAAAAACTGAGTTCAAATGTTCAAACTTTAAGAAACTCCGAATTGCTTCCAAAAAAGACACGTGAATTCACTAGGTCACAAAACTGTAGGTTAAGTAAATATCAACTTAAGAAGCAATAGAGTAAAATCTCAGCTAGTATCTTCATGGAAATGAGTCATGATACAGTGTCACGTTTTCTAAAGAATTGTGATAAATACTGTCTATGTAGGGCCAAAGCCTAAAGAGTATGAAGTAGTCCAATTGGTATGGCTCAGTGGCTGTGTCGACCCATGAACGAGGAGGTCACAGTTCGATTCCCAGTCACAGCACATGCCTGGGTTGTACGCTTGATCCCCAGCAGGGGATGGCAAGAGGCAGCTGACCAATGATTCTCATCACTGATGTTTCAATGTCTCTCCTCTTCCCCTTCCTCTCTCTGAAATAAAGACTTATTTTCTTAAAGCATTTGGAAATTATTAAATTATAACACACATTCTTGCATTCTTAAACAATATACTGAACCTACTACGCCCCAAAAGGAAAGGAAATCCTGGCGTACAGAAACTCTTACCTAGAAAGGACATTATGTGGTGACTCTTTACTCACATAGGGCTTACCACACTTTGCTTAAAAGGAAGCACCTCTGGGAAAATGAAAATTAAACATTCATATCATTTTTTTTAAACACCAGCTTTTGTGTCAAGTAGGATTTGTGTGGGTGCACACACAGGCAGCTAACAGTTCCTGAGCAAGTTCTGTTCCCTCTGCAGACCAGTTGGGGGAACTCATCTGTCCAAAATGAATGCTTTGAAAGACTATTCTTATTGCACCATCAACGTCATGGATGAATGGTACTACTGCTGACCAAGCTGGGTTAGAATGAGACTCAGAGGAACAATCAGAACACCATTCTCCCCATACCTCCTAAAGGGACATCTTGGAGCTGAGTCTTATCCTTTCTCCACTCAGAGACAACATCCAAGAGAGCATTAAAATGAAAATCCATGCGCTTGTCAATAGTGGGGTCAGTAATTCTTCCACCTTCCTGAATTAAGTCACATCTTTCTCCAAATTTATGCATGCTGATGCCAAGCTTCAAAATAATAAGAATAATAAGGTGAAAATTTTTCCCTGGAAAAAATATGTACATATTCTAAGCTGAAATTATAGACAGAGCTCTCGTGGAGAAAATGGCCTACTACCTCCCAAAGATAATGCTAAATATGCTTATCCGAAAATGGCAGCAAAGGCAGGCAGTGGGGGAAAAAAGCATGACGTCTACGAGGCCTCATTTTATGAGAATGTGAGGGGGACAGCAGCAGCTTCTGTGCCAGGCACTGTCCAGCCTGTCAGCCAATGTTTATCAGTGCTGCTGCTGCTTCGCTCTGGCATCCTACCTCCTCTGTGGACTCTCATGTAAATGAGCACACAAACACACAAACACTCACAGGGGGTGGAATTGGTTTTACTGTCAATAAAAATATTTTAGGAAAGACCTTGGACCGACCAGGTCTTCAAAGAAACTGCAGGAATGCTCAGTAAAAGGTAGGATGTCCAGTGAAAGCTCTCAGATAAACACCAAATTATATATATATATATATATATATATATATATATATATATATATATATATATATATATCTCCATCCCAAATATTGCATGCAAAATACCCTGTGTAACAGCTGAGACAAACTTATACTAAAAAAAATATTTGTTATTTATCTGAATTTAATAGGGAATCCTGTATTATATTATTATTTGCTTAATCTGGCACCCTAAAACCACAAGCTAATCCAGTGGCCGGCAAATAACACACAAATATAATTAAAGATCTTATAGAAAGAAAAAAAATATTCTAAGTCCTCTGATAGCACCTTCTCATGGAGGCAGCGCTATACGTGACTTTATTTAATTTCCAGAGAAAATGAAGGGGCAAGAAGTCATTCTGGAGTTGTTACCTATTACTTAAAAAACACATTACTACTACACAGAAGCAAACTGAGAACTTCTTCTTTTCTTTATCTATAATACAAATCTTAAAAAAACCCACTTGTTCACACATGAGTGCTACTGGGTTGTTAATACAGCCATTGACGATCTGGGCTCCTCTTCCCACTGTGACGCCTTTAAAAGATTTATCATCCCACACTCGGCCTCCAATTCTGTCTTTGGCTTCCAGCACAGTCACCTAAAGAGACAGACAATTGGGGAAGCTAAGTAAGATACCCTGTTTCCCCGAAAATAAGACAGTGTCTTATATTAATTTTTTCTCCCAAAGTTGCGCTAGGTCTTATTTTCAGGGGATGTCTTATCTTTCCATGCACTAGGTCTTATTTCTGGAAGATGTTTTATTTTGGGGGAAACACGGTAGAATAGTCTTATCAAATGCACTACTATCAATGTAGAATAATACGTTGATAAGTAAGTCCCATATTTGGTTAATTTTTTTTATTACATTACTAGAGAAATGACTTTGAAGAGAAAGCAGTGTAAACAGAAGCCCAAGTGGCTGTAACACAGATTCTAATGACGAGTGAGTGAGTGGTCGATCTGTTGGTGAAATTTTCAAATTATTCCCTCAAATCCCATAATGATAAGATCTGATGAACTAGCACATGAAATGCAACTGTAAAGCTTTTACTAAATAATATTCCAAAAATTAAAAAGCACTATTAGAAACTAGGTTCAGGAGGAGATTTTGAACATTATGTTACAGGGGAGTTATTACAATCCAGAGTCTTTAATGTTCATCTGATGAACATTAAAGACTGGATTGTAATAACTTCCCTGTAACATAATCTGTAGGTTTCCCAAATAAAAGCAAACAAGAAACCTTGGCCCCAACATCTAACACTGAAATAATCAATTAAAAAACCTCGTATTGTAATAGCTCTAAGAAAATACTTGCAAATGCAAATATGGTACACATCCTATAAATCCAACTCAGGTACTTCTACTTTGTCAGCAACACAATGTAATTCAAGACTTAGGTCCTCCATTCAAACAAGAGGAAGCCTCTCTCAGGCACAGCTACTAAAAGCTTTTCTTGTCCTTGAAACCTCCATCAGAGAAGATTTTGTGAAAAAAAGAAGTCATTTCTTTTAGCAAGATGGAGAAGAGCAAAAAGGCTAACTCAATTTTACCAAATTAATTTTCATATATGGTTTAAGTGAAAACCAAAGACTTTGCAAAATAAGTTTTTAAAAGGGAGATATGTGTCAGATTTAGGAAGTCACAGAAATCTAAGGTTAATTTGAATGACCCTAATACAAATTAGACATTGAACTGCACAAATGGTTTTTGTATTAGTTTCTACTTTGGCTAATTTTGAACAACTGGAATAAAGCAATATACCAGACAAAAAGAAAATAATATCCCACCTTGAGGAAGCAGGCAACCCCAAATATGTACAGTACTTCAAAAGTCATGTAATTCTGTCTCAACCAGGATTAAGTAATTCAATCTTGCTTCCAAAAGCAAAGATTTTTGTTTCTCAGGATATAAGATTCACAGGGTTCCTTTAATTTGCATTAAAAAAAAAAGTAACTGGGTATTTCAGAAACTTTTATAAAAGAAACAGTGAATTTCCAAACTGTTTTCTGTTGTCTCAAACTATTGCAAAAATAAAGGATTTTTCCCAATGACCCCAACTTAAAATCTCTTCTAGGTTGCTCAATACAGTCTAAAACTCCTTAAAGCTGTGGGAATTTCTATCTTCCTCTACTTTTCTCTTATTAAACTAACTTCAAATTTTGTATCTTTTCTTGGATCGAGTGTAAAGACATAAAGATATCATGTACTCAGCATTCTTTGCTAAAATCAGGAAGTGGTTTCTAAATCTTAGAAAATCTGGACCAGAGGAGCAGTTAAACCATCTGTTTCCACCTCCATGAGCCAAAAATCTCACCTTAATTCCAAAGTTATGCAGTTGCCTAGCAGCTGCTAATCCTGCTGGACCAGCCCCGATAACAACGACTGATTTCTTAAAAAAAAAAAAAAAAAAAAGAACAATGTTACGCTAAGTGAAATAAGACAGAGAAAGAAGTATCACATGATCTAATTCATATGTGCAATCTGGTGGAAAAAATACACTGATGAACAAAATAGATCCAGAGTCATAGAAGCATGGAACAAACAAATCTCTGAGGGAAGAGGGTAGCGATAGATTAACCAAAGAATTTATATGCATATATGCATTACCAATGGACACAGACAATAGTGTGGTGAAGGCCTGCGGGGGTGGGGGGAGCATGCCTAGGGGGAAAAGGGGACATCTGTCATACTTTCAACAATAAAGATTAATTTTTAAAAATCTAATTAGAGCAATGAAAACAGTGTACTATTTTAGTTGTTCTGGAAGGTACTAACTACCAAGAATGTTGGTCCATCTACATTTTTTTGATGCCCTTAGCAGAAAGTTATTTTCCTAAAGAATACTGAAGTACTTTCCTTAAGCAATCCCTTTCTCTTTTCTATAGTCTAAGGAAACAGAATCTTCTCCAGAGAAACACATACTCCAGCAAGTCTTATTTTACAACTTTTATGGCGATAATGTGACTTTGGCTAGTATCATCAACAATGTACTGGCCTTTATCCTGACCGAGGGGAGTTATTGATAGAGCTGGTCACCTACACTGTGGTAATCTTTAGGAAGAAGACGCTGGTCAGTGCCGACGCTGAGAACGCCCGTGTTGATGAGACCTTTTCTCGTCATAAAGTAAAGGATCCTCTCCACTTCCTGAACACATCGAATGCGCACGAGACCCCGGACAATGATGTGAGGAATACATTTATGAGGAGTAAGAGCTTCCTGTGTTTGCAAATAAAACCAAAGTGTTAAGGCAAACAAACAAAAAGCAACTCTTGGTTCCTGAAAAAGTTAAACATAGAATTACCACATGACCCAGCAATTCCACTCCCAGGTATATACCCACAGGAATGGAAAACAGATGTTCAAAGTAGCACTGTTCAAAGAGCCACAAAAATGTTCATCAAGAGCTGAGCAGAGAAAACGTGGTCTACCTACAAAGGGAATATTACTTAGCCATAAAAAATACTGAAGTACTGATCCATGCTACAACAGGCATAACGTTTAAAACATTATGCTAGGTAAAGAAGCTCATTGCAGAAGGCCTCATGTTGTAAGATTCCATTTATACAAAAAGTCACGCATAGGCAAATCCATAGAGACAGAAAGTGGATGAATGCTGGGCGAAGGGAGGAATGGACTGTGGGGTGCCTCTATGGATAATGAAAAATTTCTGGAACTAGATAGTGGGCATGGCTAAACAACATTGCATATGTACTTACTGCCACTGAAATATACATTTTAGAATTGTTTAAATGGTAAATATTATGTTGTGTGTATTTTATCACAATAAAAAGAAACTATCAGTGTCCTGGCTGGCGTGGCTCAGTGCGTAGAGCACTGGTCTGGGCACCAGAGGGTAGTGGGTTTGATTCCTGATCAAATGCACATTACTGGATTGCTGGTCCAATCCCTGCCCCTGGTTGGGGAGTATGTGGGAGGCAACCAATCAATGTGTCTGGGTCAAATCAATATTTCTCCCTTTCCCCCAACCCTCCTTTCCATTCTCTCTAAAAAGTATCTTCACTCCTTGGGTGAGGATTAAAAAAAAAAAAAAGAAACTCTCAAAGTCATTCAAGTTCATTATTTATCATGAAGAAATAAGATCAAAGGGAGGCTTGCCTGGTGAAGGGACAAAAGGCAGATACCACAAATTGTATCTTATCACATAAGTTTCCCTTTGCTAAGAGTGACTGCTACAGGGAGTGTGGGGGCAGACTACATAACAAATAATATATTCCTGACTCAATAAACAATGCAACGAAGGCCACTGTTGAAACCCAGGCTGCTCTGTGCACTGGCAGCAGGAAAAGTTGGATTCTTATCATGGATGGGGGGGGGGCTGATGGAGGAACTTGGAAAAAAAAAAAAAAAAAGATATCACTGCCTTTCTCCGCTTGGCCCAGCTTTGGCAAGGCCTTGATCCACTTCAAAGATCCCAGAGTAATGCGGCCTGGGCCGGGTGTGAAGCTAGAACGGGCACTGGAGGTGGGCGTGGGGGTCCCTATCCCTGGCCTCTCCCTTACTTGATCCCAACTCCCAGCTCCACCAGAACCTGAATTACAGGAAGATGACTACACACTTGAAGGAGTCAAAAATAACACAACATTGACCTTCATTGCTTCAGAAGACAAACTGTTTGTATTTATGAAATTTAAAAACAATCCTTTCAAAGTCTTTGACTCTTCCATTGCAAACATTTGTGTTTTACCGCTGAAGTATTAAATATATACAATATATAAACCATGTAACAAAGGCCACTGTAAATACTCTTCTCATTAAAATGAAAATGGGCCCGGCCAGCATGGCTTGGTAATTGAGCACTGACCTATGAACCAGGAGGTCTCAGTTCAATTTTCTATGAAGGCACATGCCCGGGTTGTGGGCTCCATCCCCAGGGTGGGGCATGCAGGAGGCAGCCGATCAATGATTCTCTCTCATCGTTGATGTTTCTATCCCTCTCTCCCTCTCTGAAATCAATAAAAATACATTTTAAATTTTTTAATGGATCCAGGCTGACAAGTTCAGGGTTTTTTCTGTATGACTCATCCCCAGTATAAGTTAAAATTCAAAATTTTTTAAAATGAAGAAAAATTAATCTGATGCTGTTTCTAAAAAGGTGTATCTTTATAATTATTCACAGGAAATTCTGAGCACAATTTTATTCAGTTCAGCAAATATTTATTGAGCATCTGTATCAAACCTGTTGGGGATGAAATGAATAATTAATTCTACCTTGCCCAGTCTACTCACCAGGGTATAATTTGTATAGGTGGCGTTAACACCCATTACTAAATCAGGTCACCTCATACTGGAGTCTAATCCAGTGAAATACTAGGGTGGAGCTGGCATATCTTTCTTGGTGGCTTTCCAAAATGATCGGCACTGAGAAGCCACTTGATAATTGCAGAAGAAATTAAGTCAGAAAAACACTGAGGTCAGAAAGGCTTGATTTTTTTTTTTTTTTAAACTTGTATTTCCACCTCACATACCACACACACTGAAAATTTATCTCCACCCCTTTCAAGGCTGGTACTGTATGTATAAAGCCTCTAACATTTATTCAGTCCCAACAGGGAGCAAAGGTTGTTTGAGGATAACAAGGTGAATATGAATCCTGCCCTAAACGGTTTAATCCGGTCTTTCATGTTTCTTTCACCTTTTCTTCTGGCATAACCATCAGAACTGTTTGAACCAAACTTTGCACCTCACACTCACTCACTAGAGAGTTAAGATTCCAATAACACACAATCTAAAGTGGCGGTTCTCAGGGAGGAAAGACTTTGCCCCCATTGGCAGGTTGTCACAATCGGGAGTGCTCTGTCATCTAGAAGGCAAAGAGGCCAAGGATGCAACTAAACACACTATAATGAACAGGCCAACCCCTCACACAAAGGCTCTCCCCCCAAAACTTCCAATGCTGCTGAGGCGGAGAAACCCTGGTCGAAAGGTCTATCCATGGGCGGCGTGGCTCCTCTCTTTCCCGGGAGTCCCTGTCGCGTGCTGAGAGCTCCCATGCCCTGCACTTACTTTGCAGTTGGTGTACCACAGGGCCAGGATGAGGTTCCTCAGGGCCAGGTACATGGTGGGGTCTCGGGAGTACTCTGGGAACTCGTAGAGCTCGTCCAGCTCCATCACGTCCGGCCTCACGCACAGGGCTTTGCCGCACTCGTTGGGCTGGTAGAAAGGCTGGAAGTACCGGTTCATGCCTGGGACTGACAGAAGCACAAACGGGCAAATGCTCCACGCTGTCACCTCCACATGCGGGTGAGTTAAAGCGCAATATCAAGCCAACAAGGACAGTCAAGTCCAGCTCCACAGTCTGTCCTACTGTGTTTCTGCTTCCTCCCTCCAGTTAGACAATATATGTGGAAATTAAACACATGTTTTCCCCTTCTTCACGAATTTAATTTCGATGGTATGGACAATTCTTTAAAAGCTGTGATTGTGGTTTAAAAAAAAACAAAAAACCCACATACTATATAATTTACCATCTTAACCATGTTTAGGTATACAGTTCAGTAGTGTTAAGTATATTCATATTGTTATACAACAGATTCCAAAACTTTATAACTTGCAAAACTCACTCTGAACCTACTGAACTCCAACTCCCCATGGAAAAATATTTTAAACTTTCATTGGAATTTTTCTGATTATAAGTTGAACAGGTTCATAGGGGAAATAGCAATCACTAACTCCTAATAATCCTTGAGGGGGGTTTACAGACCACTAGTGCTGTTTCTCTGAATAGAAAACTTTAATATTATAGAAATTTGTTTTTACAAAGCCAGAAAAAATGCTACTTAATAATATTTTCTAACTTTTTTTTTTTCTTAATGTATGACATCAAGAACAGTTTTCCATGTCATTAACTAGGACTTTAATGGACATAATATTTTCTTATCATTTAACCATTCCACTAATGCTGAGCATTGAAACTTCATCCAATTATTAACTATTATAAGCAATTCCACACAAATTTCTTTGCACCAAAACCTTTGGACTTAAGTTATAATTTACTTTGATAATTAGTTGGATACATTCGTAGGATAAAAATTTTTGTTCACACTGCCAAATTGTCCTTCATAAATATCCAAACCCACTAATTTGAGTGCCTGTTAGTTTAGTTCCTTAAACTAACACTGGGATTGTTTCTCTTCTGCTTTCATTTCGACCACAGCTACATTTTTAGAGGACCCAGTGTTATAAGTTAAAAACCTTAAGACAGAGCCACAATGTCATAATCTAGTTAGTCACATCATCAAAAATGAAGTTGGTAATTAAAAAAGTGTTCCGAGCAGAAAATCTAGAATTCTTGCTTGTACACAAAGAATTCCAATGTGGAATTTTAAAGTCATGACCAACAAGCATGCCTGTCCTGATCTAAAGCTTTGAATTTTTTTCCAGAGTGAATCATTCTGCTGAAATCCTCAGTGACATCATTAGAAGTAGAAAGACTCAGAATAAAAAGAAGGACGCTAAGATAGTCAAAATATTTCTTCTGGCATGTTAGAGTTTACATTATCATCAACTTATCCAGCTTTCAAATACATACTCATTAAACTCTGTAGACAATTCCTGAGCAAGTGTTATAGGCTTTCCAATCAACTGAGGGAAAAATTAACTGCACAATATACACAAATGATAGGACATCCACAGCATAACCAAATCTACGATATAATGAGGTACTTTATAGCACACTAAGTCTTTTCCATTCTGCTCACCCAAACATTTCCAGGGACTGGGGGGGAAGGAGGAGGGGAGAAAGCAGAGAGTGCGAGGACCAGCTCTCACCCAGCACAGAGGGGACCGCCTTGGAGTGCTCCAGCTTCCCGGGGCTGGCTTCGCTGGCTGCGCGGTGTGTGCTGGTGCAGGAAGGGCTCATGCCAACGCAGTCAGGGTAGTAGGCAGAGAGCAGGGGTGCTGCCACGCTGTCTTTCAGCAAAGGAGGTAGAATGAGCATGGAGTACCACCAATGGTTGGAAACTTCCGACACTCTCTGGAATGGGTAGAGCAAGATGAAGAGGGACAATGGCAGACAGGAAATGGACATGCAGATTCAGCCAAGGACAGATGACTATCTCCACAATATTCACCCGTAACCCCTCTAGTCTGCCTTCTCCCACTCAGCAATCCTACACCAGAGCTCAGCACACTCAGGTTCAGAAACAAGAGAGGCCGGCGATACCTGCAGAGCCATGTTTCCAAGGCAGAGTTGTTTCAGATACACAGCAAGAGTCTCCTGTCTCTCCCTCCTCTCCTCGTCTCTCCCTCCTCTCCTCACCAAACCCACCATCTCCAGGTCAGTCTTGAAGCTGCACCCACGGACTACACGCCGGTTTAAGTGTGACATGACAACTTTCTATTCAGTAACCATTTTATCTTCCATTCCTCCCCCCCTCCCTTCTTACTAGAACCTAAAGATAATTTAAATAGAAAAACTAGGCAGAAAAAAAATAATTCACCTAAGAAGTAGCCAAGCATTACCACTTTTTGCCAGAGGCTACAAAAATATTTTCAGAGGGGAAAAGTACACTACAACCATTGAAATAGATGCTAAATGTAGGACTGAACAAGTAAAAGCTATTTTTGGTCTTTAAATGTGTGATCACATTCCAGAGTCGGTTTAACATATGGAATCATTGGATCAAAGCATCTCCATGATGACTAACCCTTGCAATAACAAGAAAATCTGGTTGGCTTGTAAAGCAAACTCTACACATTCTACGGTAGACAGCCTTTTCTAAAAGTGAGCCTGAATACATGCCCCAAGAATTGTAAGAATCTGATACAGGAGAACCTTGTGCTCAGAGCCCCTCTGATGTTAGTTTTCTAGGCTCCCAGCAAATGCCAGTTGCCATCAAGCAGGGGTTTGTGAATGCAGGGTCCACAGAGTTAGTGCAGATTGGAGATGCATTTTGTTTGCCCTTCAAACTTCACAGAGTCCGAATCTGGGACAATCCATTTTCAGTTGACTATAAGCCCCAACACTCCCTATAAACCAGCTGCTTCACACATTCATTAAAGGTAAGTGCCTTTCCCCAAAGGCATTTCTGTGTACAATCTTTGCTCTCAAGGCCTGTTTTGGGCTTGGTTCCTGACCGCAGAGCTGTACCCAAAAGAAGGGAAGCTTCAGTCCCTTCCTCAACACACCAGGGCTGCCTCGATGGGCCCCCTTCTGAGAAGAGTGCCAAGGACAGAGAAAACTGAGGATTCAGACACTCCAAATATACCATAGAGAGGGCAGAATGTAGGTGACTTATAAAACATTCACCCCAAGCTCTTCCATTCTCTTATACTTCCTGAGTCTTGCAGCTTGTTGGTAAATTGAGTCAGGACCCAGCAGAGAGCGCCTGCCATCCTATTAACTCCCCCCAGTTTTGCTCCCCATAGAAGCCCACGTGAGGGTGCTCCAAACCTCTGCGTTGGAACAATGAGAAACGAAAACGGTGCCCAATAAACTAGCATTTGATCTTGCTATTCAAAGTGTGTTTGCTCAACACATTCACCATTCCTGGACACCAAGCTCTAATTTTGTCCATATACCATTAAAAAAATTCCACTGTCATCTTGAATACATATTTCAATGAAGAACTTGTACTTGATAAAGTCAAGTCTATTAATGTAATAAAATGCCCACTATCCTAAGTTAAATAGTATTCCCCAGAACCTCAGAATGTAACCATTTTTGGAAACAAAGTCTTGCAGACCTTGTCATACTGGAGCCTTAGATTCACTATGACTAGCATTCTTATAAGAAGAGAAGAGACAGAGAACCAGAAGACACACAGGAAGAGGGTCATGTGATGACGGAAGCAGAGATTGGAGTGATGCGTCTATATTCCAAGAAATGCTAACAATTGCTGGCAATACTAGAAGCTGGAAGAAGCAGGAAGGATTTCCCCCTCTACCCCCTTAGAGCCTTCAGGGGGAGCACAGCTCTGTTAACACCTTGATTGCAGACATACAGACTTTTGGAGTTATGAGACAATAAACTCCTGTTGCTTTGAGCCACCCAGTTTGTGGTAATTTGTTATGGCATCCCTAGGAAGCTAATATAGGCACTCAAAAAATTGATAAATTGCTTTAAAGTGACCTTAGAATCCATAGAAACAGAAAAAGGGTAGATAGGTGATATGGCTAGAAGCCTGCTCCTGACCCCTCATTAATGAAGCGCAAAAATAAATGACTGGCAGGTGAACATCAAGGGCGTCTTCCAAACTTTCAAAAGTTCATGTTCATGTATTCCAAGAATATGGCATCTGCCCGAAGCTCAAATTCTTCTGCATGCTCAATGGTCTAATGTTAGGGGTCAGATTCATAAGGTACTGTGTTTACTTTTTCCTTCCTTTCTATAATCTCATCCTGTCTATCCTAACCTCATATTATCTGGGCCACTGGTTTACCATAGCAATGTTTTAGGAACAACTAATTATTTAGAAAATGTGTGTATGTGTGTGTTTCACACACCCCTTTATATAACAGAATGGTTTTAAAGTAGATTTTCTAGATGTCGATTCTTCCATTGCCTGAAAATCAACCATAGTCCTTAAGATTCAGAAATCTAGAAAAACTGCAAGTTAACAATCCTGAACTACTGAAATGCAAAAAAAAAAAAAAAAAAAAAAAAAAAACACACACACAAAAAAACAGAATCTCAGAATTTTTAAAAACTCAAGAGTCTTAAAAAGGCATTCTATGAAAGAGCCATTGGCTCTGATTATGCAGCCCATGGATTGTGCCAGCAAAGCTCCATAGGAAATGAAGTGTGGCCCTAGCTGGTTTGGCTCAGTGCATAGAGCTTCGGCCTGAGGGTCCCAAGATTGATTCTAGTCAAGAGCACATGCCCAGGGTTGCAGGCTCAAGTCCCAGGAGAAGGCATGCAGGAGTTAGCCAATCAATGATTCTCTCTCATCATTGATGTTTCTATCTCTCTCTCCCTTCCTCTCTAAAATCAATTAAATATATATATATATATATATATATATATATATATATATATTTTTTTTTTTTTTTAAAGAATGAAATGTGTGAGGCTTCGAGAGCTGGAGACGCTGTTCCCTCCAAGCAGTGCCAGGACAAAGCAGTTACATCAAGATCTGAATATACAAGATCACTCTCACAGCTGAATCTGGGCCAAGAGCATCAGACTTTAGACCCCTATTCTTTTCTTGGAAGGATTCAGAGTTGTAAAGTCACCCATGAAGAAAAAGTATAATGAGCCTGATCTTTATCGTAAAGCAAGGTAGCAGTTTCTTCCTCTTTATTTCCTTTTAATGCAAAGCAATATAACTTTTTTAAGTTAGGGAAGATCATCTATAATACCACTATTGCTAGCATTTTCATCATATCATTATGTTAGATTAAAACTGTTACTGTCAATTACATATAGTACTTATCATTGGAGATGCAATGAAGTTCAATCTAGAACATGCAGAAATACTCACTAGATCCTCTGGGAGGGAACAATGGTCTGGATTCTCGGGCTGAAAGGAAAAAAAAAAAGTGTTAATTAGCTTTACTTATAAAATATAGTCTTCAGTATCCATTTACCTTTAAGAAGATAAACCTTTTCACCTTTTAGAATGGCTAAGGAAAAAGTGTGATGAACCACTGAATGCATGAAGGTGTGGGGAGGACAGCTACTCTCACAAGAACATCCAGGTGGAAAGCAAAAGAAATAATGACTCTTGCCCTGCCGGCGTAGCTCAGTGGTTGAGTGTTGACCTATGAACCAGGAGGTCAAGGTTCGAATCCCCATCAGTTCACATGCCTGGGTTGTGGACTCAATCCCCAATGGGGGGCATGCAAAAGGCAGCCAATCCTCTTTCATCGTTGATGTTTCTATCTCCCTCTCCATTCCTCTCTCTGAAATCATTAACAATATTTTTTTTTTAATAAAAAGAAAGAATGACTCTGGAGAGCAACAAGACAAAATATGAAACTTTTAAATGAACCATAATTTGGCATTATCTTGTATAACTGAAGATGTACATATTGTATGTGCAGCAACCTAACCTTTGTTATATTTTCCAGAAAGGCCCTCATACATGTGCACCAACAGAAGTAGAAAATGTCCAAAGGAGGATTGTTTGTAATAGAAAAAAGCTAAACACAATCCAGAAGCCCATCAAGAGTAGAACGGATAAACGGTGTCATAGTCAAACAATGGCCACTGTCCGATGATGAGAACGAACTACAACCATACCCTATAGCACGGATGCACCTGACAAACACAACGGTGCGAGAAAGCAGCCAGACCCCAGAGAAAACACTGTGTGATCCCATTAACATGAAGTTCAAAAGCAGGCAAAACATCTGTAGTGTTTTAAGTCAGAATAGCAAGTGGGGGAGCGAGGGGTGGAGGCTGTGAGTAAAAGGGGGTGCTGACCGACTCTGAGAGGCTGGTAAGGGTTCCATTTCTCTACGCTGGCTAAATGGGGACTTTGTGAACATTCAGAGCTACATGCATCTTCTGTTTGTATATTTCAAGTAAAAAGTTACCTACACAGACTGAGGATTGGCATTCCATCTAGCCCCGCAGATCTGGCCCTTGGAATACACTCTGGAGAAACTTTGCCTGTGCCCCAGAGAGGCATGCATGAATGCTCACAGGGGCACAGTCAAGCCCGTGAACAGGAAAACAGATACATCGTGGCACAGTCACACACCGCAATACTATACAGCAGGGGAAATGAGGAGCTCAGAGCTCTGGCATCAACATGGATGCATGTGAAAAACCTCCGCATGGAGTGAAAACAGCAAGCTGCAGAATACAAACAATGTGATACAATATACAGCCAGTCAGAAAGTAGTCGGGGTTTTGTAAATATGTAACAAAAAGCTGAGGAATAACAAATACAAAACTCGGAACACTGTGCCCTGACAGTGAAGGACAGGACCAGCACGCAGGAAGTGACAGAGGCTTTGGTAACAATGCTTCAGCTTCTGAAACTGTTGGATCCGTGAGTGTTTGCTTTAATTCTTTGCTTCTTACACAAATTATAAATCCTCTTTTGTGTTCTAAGAATTATTTCATATTAAAACAATGGTATGTCCTCTTTGACACAGAAATGTTATAACTAGGAAATTACAAATATACTGAAAAATGGCAAAGATATAAAGTTATTCATCATAGCACTGCTAACAACAAACATTTAAAAGTGACTTAAATGCTCTCAACCATGTTAACCATTCATCATGATACATCCGCTCAGAATAGTATTATACAGGCTTTAAAGAGAAAGCGGTCTTCAGGTCCTGAGATGGCAACATCTATCAGTCATATTAAACGAAAAGAGCATGCTCCAAAACAGTGTGCAGAGTTTGCTACCATTTTTTTAATGTTGTTTTGCAAATAAACCTTTCCAGACTTTGTCCTTGACAGTATACCAAGCTGAAAACCAATCAATAAACACCATTTAAATAAATATTTCAAAACTTCAGGCTACAGACAGTAACAGACTGGAGCATTAGCTCTCAAATGACAATTTGGGGATGGAAGGGGGTGGGGGGAGTGTAAAACATGATACTCTATACTTAGGAGCTGGAATTTAAGAAGACCATGAAGCCTTCAACTTTAAGAGGGTTTGGAAGGAGAGAAAAGGCAATTAAGTTTTCAAAAGCTTAAGGAATCTGAGGCCTCTCAGTCCTTCTGGGAAAAAAAAGTTATTGATGTTAAAATACATTCAACTACATGATGAAATCAAAATGAAGAACTTGGGACAGAAGGAACTGTGGTGAGAAAAATTGTGGGGAGTATTTTAAACCCCGTAAATATAGAAGCAAGAGTAAGCAATGGAGGGATGATGGTTATGGAAAATAAATGATACGTTTATTCTGACAGAGTTCACTAAACTAAAACACGAAACACTAACAGAAATTTGGAGCAAGAAAAAGGGGAGGTGGGCTAAAGTGTGACATAATTTGCTTTTCCCACTTTCATGGCAGAGTGTCAATTAATATCTAAAATTGAAACAGGCAACTAAAACAAAGTGATTCTAACCTCCTACCCTTCCCATCATATATATCCATAACCTTTTAGGAAGCTTTTAGAAACTACTATTTCTGGAGATGGAGAAATAATTATCCTATGTTCAACAACTTCTTATTTCACTTTGGCTTCTTTTTCTGGTTTTAAATTTCGCTGTATGCAATCATTTTACATAAAATGAGCATGCATAGTAAGTACTATTTCTTGACATGGAATTTATTTCTCAGCCAGGTCTTTTGCTTGAAATACACGAATACTGTTAAGTAAGTAAATCTCATTTAGTATGGTTATTGCATGATAATACTGCATGTGTTTTCTTTTGTTATCATCTTTGTCCTTTTCTATATTGTTTTGACTTTTTCAGTAATGAACATATGTAATTGGTCTAAAAATAACCTCATTCTAAAGAAAACTTTATACTTTTCAAAAACTACTTAAACTAAAATAAATATAAAAAATAAATGGAAAAGGACAATTACCATCCCCCCAAAAAGTCAAACCAAAAAAAGGGTCATGGGCCAATTGAACAATTTGTAGAGATGAAGTTAAAGATTTCCATTCTATTGTCAGCAGGTAAAAGAAAGGAGGGATTATGTATAATTCCAAATGATAGTTAAACTAAAGCTAGTCAAAGCACAATGCAAAATGATTTTAATATAAACTTTTTATGTAAAATTATATCCAGTATTTATGCCGAAACTGGTTTGGCTCAGTGGATAGAGTGTTGGTCTGGGGTTCGATTCCCGTCAGGGGCATATACGTTGGTTGTGGGCACATCCCCAGTAGGGGGTGTGCAAGAGGCAGCTGATCGATGATTCTCTCTCATTGATGTTTCTAGCTCTCTACCCCTCTCTCTTCCTCTCTGTAAAAAATAAAATATACTTAAAAAATTATATCCAGTATTTAATAACATATATGAGTAAGCAAATCATCCAAAATTGTTAGAATAACTGTTTAGAAACTTCAGAAATAGGTTAAATAAAAATGGCCCAAAGACTAATATCTATTAAAATAGTCTGCTATCTTTGTTGAACTCTCCTTTAAACATTATAAAGAAATGCCACTAAGTCTACTTTTGGCTTGAGAAGTAATCTTGGACACAGGGCCTGGTTAAATTCAGTGCAGCCATGACATTATTTCAGTCAGCTTCCCCTTTGCCACACAAGCTCATGTACCTTCATTACTCAAACCCCAATTCCCAACAGTGCACTCAGCCTGGAAAATGAAGAACCCACCGCCTCAGTGTCAGCCCTTCCCATTGTTTTCTCTTCTGTCCCTCAGAGAGGCCTTCCACTCTGAAGACTGCACTCAAAAATCAATTAAAGGCTAAACTGAAAGGTTTCAGAACAAGATTTGTTCATTCCAGGACCCTAGTCCCAGGCTTAGATCTGTGCTTACCATCCTTCACTCCCAAATTACCAACATCCAAAATAAAAACAAGGATATCACCATAGAGCTTGCTGACATTAAATGGAGAATAAGGGAACAGTGCAAACAACCTTAAGTTAACAAATTTGACAATGTAGATGAAATAGGCATATTTCTTGGAAAAACACATACACATTCTAAAACGGGTAGAATAAAACCACCTACATTGTTCTGTATCTGTTAAAGAAACTGAGTTTATAATTTTAAAACTTCTCACAAAGAAAACTGACCCAAATTACTTCACTAGTGAATTTTACAAAATGCTAAAGAAGAAATAATATCAAATTTACCCAAACTCTTTAACAAACAGAGAAGAGGGATATGCTTCTGAATTCATTTTATGGAGCCAGCAGATCACAGACAAAAAGAACAATACAAGAAAAGAAAATTGTCATCATGAACACAGATGCAAATATCCTTAACAAAATATTAACAAACTGAATCCAACAATTCATTAAAAAGGATACTATATTAAGAACAAATAAGATTTTTTCCCCAGGAATGTGAGGTAGTGTCAACATTCCAGAATTGGTGTAAATTCACCACATTCACAGATGAAAAGAGAAAAACCACATGGTCATCATAAAAGAAGTAGAGAAAGTATTTGACAAAGTCCAACATCATAATACCATTCATAATACCAAATTATCAGCAGGGTCAGAACAAAAAGGAACATCTTTGATCTGATAAAAGGCATTTGTGAAAAGCTACAGCCAAGCCAGCATTATACATAATGATAAAATACTGAACACATTCCTCCTAGGTCAGGAATAAGACAAGGATGTCTACTCTCCAACTTCTATTCACGGTACTGGTGGTCCTGACTAGTCCAATAAGGCAAGAGAAAGAAAGAGCAAAAACATGATTTTTTTTTTTTTTTTTTAAAAACAAAAAAAAAAACCATGGAATTGTATACTTTAAAATTGTGAATTTTATGACATGTGAATTATATCTCAGTTTTTTTAAAAAAAGTTTAACTCCCGAGATTATGACTTCTAACATTTTTTTAATGTTTTGAAGGAACCAGGGACATTTGTATAAATTAATGTTTTAATTCAGTGGTCAGCAAACTCATTAGTCAACAGAGCCAAACATCAACAGTACAACGATTGAAATTTCTTTTGAGAGCCAAATTTTTTAAACTTAAACTTCTTCTAACGCCAATTCTTCAAAATAGACTCCCCAGGACATGGTATTTTGTGGAAGAGCCACACTCAAGGGGCCAAAGAGCTGCATGTGGCTCGTGAGCCGCAGTTTGCCAACCACGGCTTTAACCCATTAAAGCAATTACACACTTTAAAACTATTTAGTTTTTAAAATGTAAATAAAAGCATATTATCGGGTCTAGTAATAATTAATGTCGTTTTTAAACATTCGTTTAAAATCTTGCTTGGCGTTGACTTGTATTGACATAACCTTCAAACACGTGGTATCTACAGAACGTGTGAAGTGCAATTAACAAGTTTTGCTTGAAAAAGTTTGTGCTTGGTTTGGTTTTTGTTGCAAAACTAGGGCTAAGAAGATGGCGGATGAAGAGCATATTCGGCACTGCATGCTTTACGAGTTCCAATTAGGAAGAAAAGCAAGTGAGGCTGCAAAAAACATCTGTAGTGCTCTTGGTCAAGATGCAGTTAGCGCCAGAAAATGCCAGCGTTGGTTTGAGAAATTTCGCGAGGGAAATTTTTCGTTAGATGACAAGAGTGGTCGAGGCCGTGTGTCCAATTTTGATCAAGAAGCTTTTCAAGCGGGGTGCTGCCTTTCCCTTCCTAGCAGGAAGGAAATAAAACCCCCAGCCTGGGCTGGACCCCCGAACCGGCAGCACTGAGCCCCAGTTATGGGCCAGACCCTGGGGACCCAGGCTCCAGCAGGAGGAGACGGGGCTGTGAGGCGGAAAAGCAGCGAAAAGCAGGGCTCCCGGAGTCGCGCGCAATGCACGTAGAGGACTGAATGTTGACTCTGATGCTGGGTTACCCTAGCCGGAAGAAACAAGGCCTCCGGCGGCGCTGGGCCTCAGTCCGGACTGCTCCGAACCCCAGTTCTGGGCCAATCCCTGGGGACCCAGGCACAGGCAGAGGGAGACTGGGCTGTGAGGTGGAGTCCGGGGAGAGCGGCGAAAGGCCAGGCCCCCGGAGTTGCGAGTACAGTGCGCGCAGAGGACAGTCTGTTGACTCTGATGCTGGACTCCCCTATCGGGAAGGAGAAAAAAAGCTCCGGGCTGGGGGAACATGGCAGGGAGCAGGAGCCCCTGCCGGACGCCGGCCAACCTGGCACCAGCAAGGAGCCGGGCAACGGGGCCCCTGGGGGAGGGGGGGGGGTGCCCCTGAGCCTTCCACCGCTGAGCGCGGGCAATGGAGCCAAGGCCAGGGGGGCTGCTTCCTGGGCGGCGCCATCCCAGGCAACAGGCTAAAGCAGCGCAGGAGCCCTCGGAGAACAAAGGGGTGCCACAGGCCAACTAGCTGAGCTCCCGGGACAGGGAGGAAGAAACCAAAGAAGTTCTCAATGTGAAGAAATCAAGTGAGAGCAAAAGATAGTAAAATTACTTAAGAAAGAATACAAAGAAGTTCTTGAAAAATCAAAGACTAAGTCAGAACTCAACTCAACAGCCAACATTGCAACATAAATGAGTTTTTTTTTAAAAAAAAAAAAAAAAAAAGAAAAAGAAAAAAGAAAAAAAAAAAAGACAGAATGTTGGAACAGCGGCGGCCAGGCCTAGGGTGGCCTGGCAGAAGGCAGTGGCAGCCAGGCCCGGAGCAGCAATGGCCTGGCCCCAGAGCAGCAGCAGCCAGAACCAGAGCATCAACAGCCAGCACTGGAGCAGCCAGACCTGGGGCAGTGGCAGCCAGGCCTGAGGCGGAGGCGGCCAAGCCCAGGGTGGCCAGTCCAGGAACAACTGGGCTCGGAGAAGCCAGGCCCAGAGCAGCCGGGGTGGAAGCAGCCAGACCCAGAACAGCAGTAGCCAAGCCCAGAGCATCCAGGCTGGGAGTGCCCAGGCTCGGAGCTGCCGGGCCCGGGGCAGCCGGGCCCAGAGCAGCCGGGTCGGGTGCGGCTAGGCCCGGAGCAGCGGCAGCCAGGCTGGGAGCGGCCAGGCCCGGAGCAGCAGCAGCCAAGTCCAGAGCAACTAGGTCGGGAGCGGCAGTGACCAGACCCGGAGCAGCTGGTTGTGGAACGAACCAGAGCAACAGAGGCCAGGCCCTGAGCAGCCAGGCCCGGAACAGCTCGCTCCTCGCCTGCCGCTGCCCCACAGCTGCCTCTCAGACATGGCTGGAAACTTTTGCGGGAACTTGAGGGTCTGCTGAATCAAGTGATGAAGGCTTAGATCTGGATGTGTTGAGTTAGTATAGGGCTGGGGTGTTGATCTGTGAGTGCCTTGGGTGGGGCCTGGATGAGGCTGGTGGACCTATTGGGAAATGTCTTTTGTGTGAAGTGTATCATTGGGCATGTGGAGGTATTATTGATATGAGAAAATGCTAAGTAACTGATTTACTATCTGAAAAGGGATTTACTATCGGGGAAAGGGAGGGAGGAAGAGACTGAACATAAACTGTGCACCTATAGATGAGGACAATGGGGGATGGGGAGGGTGGGGTGGGAAACTGGTGGAGGGGGGAAGAAATGAGGAACCTTTGTAATAATATGAATAAAGATTGATTAAAAATTAAAAATAAATAAATAAATTTTAAAAAAATAAAGAAAAAAAAAAAGCTTTTCAAGCTCTTTTGGTGCAAAATCCTCAAATTACCCAACAAGAGCTTGCGACAACTTTAAATTGTTCACAAAAAACAATTTCCAATCAATTGCGTGCACTTGGCAAAGTCCAAAAGTTTGGAAAATGGGTTCCTCATGAGTTGACCGACAACAACCGTAATCAGAGTCACAATTTGCAGTTCGCTCCTCTCTCGTCAAAACCGTTTGCCGTTTTTAGAGCAAATTGTTACCGGAGATGAAAAATGGGAGCTGTATGTTAATTTGAAAAGGCGGCCTCAATGGTTGGACAAAAATGAGGCTCCGCAGCCCACGCCAAAACCTGACTTGCATGCGAAAAAAGTGATGTTGTGTGTTTGGTGGAATTTTAAAGGAATTCTTCATTATGAACTTTTACCATCTAACCAAACCATTACAAGTACAGTGTATAGTGCCCAATTGGAAAGGTTAGCCCAAGCTTTAAGAGAAAAAGAACCCGCGCTGATTAATCGGAAGGGTGTAATTCTTCACCACGATAACACACGACCGCATACTGCAAGAATCACTGCTAAAAAACTGCGCCAGTTGGAATGGGAAGTTCTCCCTCAACCTGCATATTCTCCTGATATTGCCCCTTCCGATTACCATTTGTTTCGTTCTTTGCAAAACTTTCTTCTTGGAAAAAAATTTAATAATGAAGAATACCTCAAAAATGCATTGACCGAATTTTTTGCATCAAAATCACAAGAATTTTACAACAGAGGGATTAAAATGCTTCCTGAGCGTTGGGCACAAGTAGTAGAAAACAACGGCAACTATATTGTTGATTAAATTTTGTTGTATTGTTTAAATAAATTCGATTTAAAAAAGTATTAGAAAACGACATTAATTATTAGTAGACCTAATATACTACCAATGGCAGATCCCTAATTGTCCAAACATATTTAGTCATCCCTTTTTCCTTAGTACAAGGATCCTGGTTTTATTTAATATTACAACTTGCTCAATTATAAAATACCAGAGGCCCATTGCATGAAATTCATGCACTGTGGGGGAGGGAGGATACCTCAGCCCGGCCTGCATTCTCTTGCAGTCCAGGGGCTCTTGCAGTCTGGGACCCCTCATTCCTTATTGCCCACCTTGCAGTGGAGGTGGGAAAGGCTCCTGCCATTGCCACTGCATTCACCAGCCATGACCCCGGCTTCTGGCTGAGCGGTGCTCCCCACATGGGAATGCACTGACCACCAGAGGAAGCTCCTACATTGAGCGTCTGCCCCTGGTGGTCAGTGCACGTCATCGCAATTGGTCATTCCACAGGTCCTTCTGCCGTTCAGTCAATTTGAATATTAGGTTTTCATTATATAAGACTAGAGGCCTGGTGTATGAAATTTGTGAATGGGTAGGGTCTTTCCAGCTGCATGCAATTTGTGAATGGGTAGAGTCCTTCCAGCTGCTGGCCAGGGCCTTCCTTCTCCCAGCTGCTGGCTGGGGCTTTCCTTCCTCAACTGCAGGCCAGAGCCTTCCTTCATTCCAAGCTGCCCCCTGGTAGTCAGCGCATATCATAGCAAGCAGTCAAACTCCAGGTCGGTAGAACTCCCCAGGGGACAATTTGCACATTAGCCTTTTATTATATAGGATTTCCTTCCTTTGTCTCTACTGCTGGTGAGAGTAGCTGCATGATCTTATTCCATCCAATGAGACATAAACAGAAATCTATTGTTGGAACTTCCAGGAAAGCTCCTAATAAAAGAGGGAGAGTCGCAGCTGGCACAGCCCATCTTTACTGCTTAGAATTTGGACCAGAACGGTGCAGCAACCATCTTGTGGCAGAACTAGAAACGACAAAACTTCTTTGAGCAACTACACCAACCCTGCAGAGCCTATTTCCAAACTGCTCATAATGAGAGAAAATAAAACCCTCCATTGGGTAAACCATTGTAGTTGGTGTTCTGTTATATGTAAGTGGACGAATACAATACTGATACAATGAGCAATACAGTACACAAGAAATACATACCATTACTATTTACTAATAACTAAATTAACCTAGCAAAGAACTCAAAAGGAAAACCAACAGAGATCGTACCTTAGCAGCAGTGTTTGGTTTCATACCACAGCGGTAGGTCTTTGCTATCTGTGGAGTAAGCTGGATTTCCTTGGTAAGTTGCCTCCATTTTCCACACTCAGGTTTTGTGCACTGAACCTAAATGTAAAGTAACATGCCAAGGTCAATCAGTTGGCTAATCTTGAGTCTATATTTCTCTCCTCCACCACTCACTCTGCCATCTTTGCCACATGATTTGACCAACCTTCTAGTACTTCTAAGTACTTTTCCTCTCAATTGCATGATCATCACCCATATAACACACTTTTACCCCATAATTTCTGATTCAATACTAGCTCAGGCACCAAAAAAGTACAACAGAATCTGACAAATACTATTGTCAGAAAGGTCTTCCAACTCTAACTTAAGGAAATAATCAGTGTTAAATTTAGTTACAGTGAGTCAGAAACTATCCACTAAATACAATGTGGTATCTTGAAAAGGATCCTGAAACAGTAAAAGACACTACTGAAAAAACTGATGAACCCCATAAAAAGTCCATAATACAGTTACTGGTACTGTATTAATGTTAATTTCTTAGTTTGACAAACAATCATGGTGTAATAGATGATAGAAACTAGTAGAGAATATATGGGAATTCTAAGTATTATTCTTGCAACTCTTTTGTAATTTTAAAATTATTCCAAAATAAATTTTTTTTTAAATCATTCAGATATCCATATGCAAAAGAATGAAATTGGATTCTTATTTCACACATATCCAAAAATTAACTCATAATGAATCAAACACCATGTTGTAAGGGCTAAAATGTCAGAACTATTAGAGGGAAAATTAGGGGAGTCAATCTTCATGACCTCAGATTTGGCAATGGATTCTTACTAGTAGATATAATACCAAAAGCATATGCAACAAAAGAACAAATAGATAAACTAAACTTCAAAATTAAAAACTCATGTGCATCAGAGGACACTATCAAGAAAGTGAAAAGACAACCTATAGGAGCAAATATTTGTAAACCTACTAGCTGATAAGGGTTTAGTATCCAGAATAAAAAACTCTTACAACTCAACAAAAGACAAACAACCCAATTTAAAAATGAGCAAAGATTTGAACAGATATCTCTCCAAAGAAGATACAAGTGCATGAAGATACAAATGAGCAAAGATTTGAACAGATATCTCTCCAAAGAAGATACAAATGGCCAACAAGTGCATGAAAACACACTTTAGTCATTAGGAAAATGCAAATCAAAATCAACAGATACTACTTTATACCCAATAGAATAGCTAGAACAAAAAAAAAAAAAAAAAAAAAAAAGATGGGGAGACATAAATTGTTGAGGATGTGGAAAAATTTAAATCCTTATCCATTGCTGATGGGAATTAAAAATGCTGCAGCAGTTGCTAAGGAAAACAGTTTGGTAGACCCCCAAAAAGAGAAACATAGAATGTGACCCAACAATTTTATTCCTAGATATGTATTGAAAATAATTGAAAACAGATGTTAAAATAAATATTTGTACATAAATATTCATAGCAGCACTTTTGGATAACTAAAACATAGAAGCAACCCAACTGTTCATGAACAGATGACTGCATAAATTAAATTTGGCAAATTTATATAATGGAATATTATTCACTCATAAAAAGGAACAAGGAATTAACATATACTAAGACATGGATGAACCTCAAAAACATTATGGTTAGTTGAAGCCAGATATGTTAAGCCACATACTACATGATTCCTTTATATGAAACATCATATAGGTAAATTCATAAGGACAGAAATCAATTTAATGTCTGCAAGGTACTAGGGGATAGAAAAATAAGAGGTGACTGCCATCGTTTGCTTTGTGAATGATGACAATACTTTGAAATTAGATAGAGGTGGTGGGAGCAGAACACTGTCAGTGTAGTAAACGCCACTGAATGGTATACTTTACAATAGTTAATTTTATATTATGTAAGTTTCATTTTTTTTTAAATTAATTTTTAAGTGTGCAAGAGAAGCTCAAATCTACCTATGATATTAAAAATTTGGCAAATAATCTGTTAAATGACTAACGGCCAGGTGCACGAAATTCATGCACTGAAAGAGGGTCCCTCAACTCAGCCTGCACCATTTGCAGTCTGGGAGCCTTTGGAGGGTATCTGCCTGCCGGCTTAGGCCCACTCCCTGTGGGGATCAGGCCTAAGCCAGCAGTCGGACATCCTCTTAAAGTTTGGGACCCTTCACTCCTTACCGCTCAGCTCACTGCTCCTTGTAGGTGGGAGAGGCTCCTGCCACTGCGCTCACCAGCCATGAGCCGGGCTTCTGGTTGAGCAGCACACCTGCTGTGGGAGCACACTGACCACCGGGGGGGCAGCTCCTGCACTGAGCATCTGCCCCTGGTGGTCAGTGCGCATCACAGTGACTGGTCATTCCTGTCATTCTGCCATAATGGTTGCTTAGGTTTTTATTATATGGATAGGATATTTATCTAATATATGCAACACTACAATTTATTTTCAAAGAATGGTTAAATGGAAAAATAATATAAAGTTAAATAAAAAAGCTAAAAGTTAACAAAATTATATTAAAAGTAAAATGTTAAACCTTATTGGAATTTGTATATAAAGCATGAAATTGTCTTTAAAGATACCCTTAGACAATTAACAGAAGAAAAGGTGGTGAGAGATATGTAAGCTTAATGGTTATCACCAGCTGGTGATAAGTCCTTAGTTTCTTCTTCATACTATGTTGAAGTTTCCTACAAAAATAAAAAATGTGATTTGCTTCAACAAGACATAAAACAATAAACGTAGTAAAAGAAAATTCCCCCAAAATCAGTGTTTTTATCTATTCTCCTTGCATTTAGGTGCACAAGTGCTTTTTACCCAGTAGGGGAGTTGCTGATCTGCCATGAAAGCTTTGGGACTGGGTTCGGTTTTTCCATTGCTAGTCCATATTTTTTTCCATGTAGTATACTTATCATATCCATCCTTGTGGCTGAAAAATAATAAAAATAAATATATCAAGCTAAGTCAATAGGGTTTTCAAAACAGAAGACAGATTAGAAAATCTTATGTAAAGGACTTAACTAGCCATATTATGAAGAGGGGGAAGTTAGTATGGTGCCCATAAAAGAGCCTGTCAGGTAAGGTGCATTCCTATCAGTTTTAAAATCTAAAACTATTAGGAAGGGACAGCTGCTACCTGTCTGTCCAAGCTCCCGCTACTTGTCAGTACCAATCTTGGCATTCGTCCTCCTAGGCACTGTCACAGAATAGTAAAGCAGCTCCTACAGCTTTCCGATCTTGCAGACTAAAGAGAATAACTGTCTCATTAAAGCAGATAGTTTTAAACCGTGAATGTGCACACATGTAAGCATGCACACATGCCAACTACAGCATAAAAGTCTGGCAAGTTGTAGTCAATGGAGCCATGGATGCAACAGTGGAATGATTCAGAAAGCCTGTGGGCTCAGCCTTAACCATCTGATCCCCTCCACTACAGAAACCTCCGACAATGAGAGCACAGACCTTCTGTAGTAATGGTCAAAGCATTCATTACAGAAATGCTCCCCACAGGAGAGGTGATACCATCGGGAGGTGTAGCCATTCTTGGCACATCTGAAAATAGAAAAAACATGCAGCTTTGGTAATAAATAATATTTCTCCCTTTTTTTTTCAATTGCCTCCTTTTTTTTTTTAGCAAAAATAACAATAATAAAGTTTTCCCTCTGTTTCACCAAAATAGATTTCTCCCTTCCCTCCCAACCAACCCTATCTCCTTCACTTTAAAAAACAAACATGTATCAAGCATTTCCTATGAGCACATGTTGCATTCTCTCTTTACAATCCTCACAACCAGTAGGTAATAGCAGGGGAAGTGGAATGGATGATTGATAGGTTATAACACATGGTGAGGACACAAGGATTTAGACCAGAGGACCTAACTTAGCTGGTTGTACACCAAGAGCCTGAGACTTAAGAGCTTTATCAAGACTCTCTGGAGCAGGGATAGAGTTTTATGACACAAAACAGGGGATATCACTGTGCTTGCTGCAAGCTGCACGTGGGTGAAGGAGAGAAGTGTGGTCTCTAGTAAGAACATCTGTCCCAATACTGAGTAGTGAATGAATCTGGCCAGCTGGAATAGAACCCTGGAGCAGGCAATCTGGCAAAGAGGACCTGTCCAACAGCCAATAATGTAGTAAAAGAATGAAATCTAATGCCACAGTGAAGACTAACACCACCATGCTTTGTGATTAAAAAAATGGGATTTGTGTTCCAAGTTTTACTGAATCTTAAGCCTTGAAGATTCTTCTCTGGAAATAAAAGACAAGCTTGTGTCATCCCAATAAAAATGGGAAGTGCCGTTAGCCCCAGAGCCTCCATGAGACCTGTTTATGTCTGCTGGAAAAAGAGGTACATTATGTGAGGGAGGATGGAAGCCTAGAGAATTTGAGCAAAAATTGCAACCCCTGCTGGTCTACAGAAAGCTCACAATTCTCTCTACTGTGTCCCCATCCCTGACCCTATTCCACTCTCAACTTACAAAAGTAGCTCAGCTCCGGTCGGTGGGATCGGAGGACACTGAATGGCCACTGTGCAGAGCTGATATGGCTATGTCTACAGGAGGATCATATAGGAGGGTGCGGTATGTACAGAATGTACGGGCAATGTCTCTATTATTAGATGACTTACAGTATTTGTATCTATCTTTAGTAAAACTATCTTTGTGGATGATGTTCCCACAAAGAACACTCTCATAGGCAGGAATACGAGACGAAGACATGTTATCTAAACAGACCTTTCAGAAGTACTCGCAAAGCACACGGGACACGTTGCTGTACAGCCTGCCTTTTCACATTTCCTGTACTTCTTCTCCGACCCACCGTCCTCATCCTCATCCATCATCTCTGATGCTTTTTTCTTTGCCTAAGAAAGAACCAGCTGGGGTTAAGATTTCACCTGAGTGGCCAAGGGTGAATGTGACCTCCATGTTGGGTGTTCTAAACTTGTAGATTAACAACACCCTGGCAGAAGGTTAGGGGCTAACAATATAGCAATTTCCTTGAGATGGTTCTGTGCAAATAATTCACTAACTTGCCTGAAATACAGAACCAGCATGTTAACAATAGGTCTCTAAGTAGAGAACTGAAATGGATGCAAGCCTTTTTTGGAAAAAGCTGTATCAATCAAAATAAAAGCTACTTTCAAATGGGAATTTTTTTTTTCTTAGAACAGTTATACCCTCTCAGAATTGCATATTAAAAAAAAATAATAATAAATAAATAAACATATAAACCTAGGACAATAATTACATCATTCCAGTTTTTTCTTTAGCGGGGGAAAACAAAGCCTACAGAAAAAGATGGCATTAAGTAAACCATCAACAGCACCCAAACAGCTACAAACTGATGTCAAATTCCCACCAAGCATGATCTGACCACAGCTCACATCCTGGAGGCAACTACACAGCTGCAGTTCTCTGAACACCTCCATGTCCATTCAAATCCTATGTCTGTATCTTTGCAGTTCCCCCTGCCAGGATGCTTTTTTTCTACAGTCTGTCTCTTCATCATCCTGTACTGTGACTGTTATGGGGTGAAATTTTCAACTAGACTAAAAGTTTATAATCTTTTCATTTATAATTCTTCAGTGCCAATCAAAATAATTCTGTGTGCTCAAAACAGGTGCACAGAATGAACAAATGAGTAATACCTGCCTGCCGGAACTCCTCAAAGGAAGGCTATCTGGAGAATGATCAAAAGATGCTTTTTTCTTTGTTCTCCCACGTGCAGTTGCCATTGTATCAGATAATCTGAAAAAAAAAAAAAAATTAAGCCATTAAACATTAGCACTTGATAATACCTCCAACATTCTAGAACAGTTATTATACAGTAATAGGTAATAATATATTCTCTGCAGTTAGACTGCCTAAATGTGAAGCCATTGCTTTCAAGTTACTTAACATCTCAAAGAATTCGGTGTTCTCATACATAAAAAGGCCATGGCAAGAGTCTATTATAGCATCAGTGAGAGCTACTAAAACAGAAATGGCATATTATAAGTATAAATAAATATTATCCACTACTGGTATATACATTTAAAAATACAAAATATAGAAAAACACTACACAAGTGACCAACAGACAAATCACACTGTTTGTAAAATTCAAGGAGTAAAAACACCTAGTTTTTGTCTGTCTCTCTCCATCTTACTATGTCTTCTTAGCAGTTCCTGAATTTTGATCTATTATACTAAAAAAACAAAAACAAACAAACAAAACACATTCATTCCTACTCAGTAAAACCCCAACAAATAAACCTCAGGCACACCAAATATAGGAATATGGGTTAACTGTATCTTTTAATTTTTTTAAATTTATTGATTTAAATAGAGAGAGAAGGAGGGAGAGGGAGAGAATGATCGATTTGTTATTCCACTTATTTATGCATTAACTGGTTGTCTCTTGTATGTGTCCTGACCAGAGATTGAACCCACAACCTTGGCCTATCAGGATTATGCTCCAATCAACTAAGCTACCTAGCCAGGGCAGTTACTGTATCTTCCACTAGAATTTTTTTTTTTAATTTCTCAAACTAGTCTAAGAACAGCATGGCTAAACAAACATTAAAAACCAAAAGTCTAGAAGAAAAATATTGCAGGGTAACAATGAAAGATTGAGTTATCAAATTAATATATTTTCAATTAAGTTAGATAAGGAATGAAAAAATGCTTAACAGAAGTAAATACTGAATGATATGTGAATTCTACAATTATCACACATCTCCTTCTCTGATCCACTGTATTTACTACACACACATACACTCACACAAAATAGCATGTAAAATACATCAAACACACCTATAGTTAAGAAATTTGAAAGTGGAAAAGTATTATCATTAGATACAAATTCCACACACAGGCATATCTTGGGAGATATTGTGGGTTTGGTTCTAGACCACCATAATGAAGTAACACTATAAAGTGAGTCGTGATCTTTTTCTGGTGGGGGTCTTGATATCAATCGGCAAAAAAGTACAACACTTCTGAAGTGTAATAAAACAAGATATGCCTGTATATGATCCTCATCTTGAAGAAAAGCTTTGAGGGGCTTGTAGTCCTACTGTTCCCTACCTGTGAGTTCTGCTAACGCTCCTAGAGTATTTAATAGATTATTAACATCATGTGTGAAAACTTTTAGTTTTTTATCTACATCGACTCTGAGAAATCTTGACACCAATGTTATGGATGATTTTAACTTTAACTCACTTTTAACTCACTCTTCACTTTTCTCAAAACCATCATGTCAATTGTGAACACATAAATTCTACATATATTCTGAAATGCATTATAGTTCTTTGAGCATTAAATAAGTTGTCATTTAGTTTTATGGCACTCCGGATACAGATGGATAAAACACTAATGATGTTAAAAATACTACTACCTAAGCCCAAAGAAGGCTTTCTGGACCACATTTATAATTTTAAAATGCTGTCCAATGTAACAAATCAATTTGAATAAAACATATATCCCACATTATTCAAAAAGTGAACTACAAAAAAGGCATATGTAAATACTAATATAGTATACTAGTACATAAGTATTGCCACAAAAATATTTGAATTTAGCCTGGCTGGAATGTCTCAGTGGTTGGGTATTGAACTATGAACCAGGAGGTGACGTTTCTATTCCTGAGCAGGGCACATGCCTGGGTTGTGGGCTCAATCCCTGGTAGGGAGCAGATGAAGGATTCTAATAATTATTGTTTCTATCCCTCTCATTCTCTCCCTTCCTCTCTCTGAAATCAATAAAAATATATTTTAAAAATAAGTAAATATTTTATTTAATATGGGGTTTAGGAACATAATCAGCCTAGGTTCATGCAACACTTAACCCTAGGAAAGCAAACATTCTAAAAAAAAAAAAGCACAGAAATTTCATCAAACATTTAAGTCCGTCCAACTGTATACTGGAAAATATGTATTTTAATTTCAATAAAAATGATGGAAATCAAGAAATGATTAAGAGGAAACGAATACATTAGTTTTAAAAGCCATTATTAAGTCTGTGTTGTCTGGGGAAAATATGATTGAAGATTTTTAGGGTGGTACATTTTCACCATTATACGATTAAGTTAATGTGCCATCATCCTTTATTGACACTTGCTGTAATTTCTGTATTTTCACTATTGTTGGGTTCTTGGGGCTTAAAATGTAGGGAAATTTTAAGTAAAGTTGGAAGGACTATTATCTTGGAACCCTCGCCAAGCATTTCAGTTGGTCGGAGCATCATCCCACATACCAAAAGACTGTGGGTTTGATTCCCAGGGTACAGGGTACAAAACTAAGTTTTGGTTTCAATCCCAGGTCTGGGCGAAATCAGGAGGCAATTGATTGATGTCATTCTCTCTCAAATCAATAAAAAGATATCCTTGAATGAGAATTTAAAAGTAGATAAAATCTAGAAATATTGATCAAAAGTGTCATTAAAACAAACTAGTATATTGGAAGTGCTTTCTCACATGCTTCTTCAAATAAACACGTCTAACTTTAAATTTACTCATTATGGTTCATATTCTATATAATTTTATAAGCATATATCTCCTTAATTTTAAATTCAGAACCTTGGTTTTCTTTTAATGTAATTTTTAAAAATTGGTGTTTTTTTCTGAATTATTCAAAAACTTTTTAAAAGACACACATTCATAAAAATAAGTATCAAAATGACTCCATGTTAGAATAAAAATTTGTAGGGGCATCAGCATTTCTAAAAATAAAACAAACTACTACAAACATCTTCAGACAACAGAAACAGGAATTTCCCTTTTGGCCACTTAAAATAAAGCAGGACTAGTACCTTACTGCACCCACACTAACACAATTTTCCAAAATATGGATCCAGTTCAACGTCCTGAATGCTTTACTTTCCCTGCCTGAAAAACTATTAATTATTGATGATCATTTTCTCATGTGCCTCCTTAAGAAACCTTCCCTCCCGATGCCTTTCTCCCACTAAAATAGATTTAAATAATAATAATAATTATAATAAAAGCTAAACAAAACACAAAAGTCTTGAGTTGTGTTTGAATGTGGAGTGATGGATCTAACCCAAATGGGCTGATCTATGGACTTCAGTGCGCTCAACCAAGGGAAGGCTTGGGCCTCTGGCTAGGTTCCATATCACTGAACCCCAACTTTCTACAGCTGGGCCTTCTCCTTCCTTCCTGTTTCACTTGCCAGCTGCCAGGTTGTTGACTAACATCCACCGCAATGGGGCTCCCTGCTCCGGGTTCCCAGCCCGGGAGGAGTTCCCCCAGCACCTGGCAATGCCCATCGAGCCTCCAAGCGGGGTGTCCACGCTGGAGCTTCGCCAGGACACCTGCAGGGCGGTGCGGGCTCCTCCCCGCCACCCTCCCGGCCGAGAACCAGTCAGGGAGTTCCTCCTGGGGGGGAGGGGTGCCGTGGGTTTTCCCCGCCGCAGCACACACGCCCCGGTGTCAGGGCTCTAACAGTCCCCGGGTGCCCGCGGCGGCCGCCTCGCTCTCCGCGCAGCTTTCTGGGTCTGTTCTCCGCAGTCGGAGAAGCAACCAGCTCGGGGCTCACCTGCGCGCGGAGACGGTGCGGGCGGTCGCGGGGAAGCGGCGGCGCTGGAGAGGAAGGAATTATTGTGCAGGGTTAGGAGAGACCCTCCGCGCGGCGAATCGGGGAACCCCGTCGCCGCCGCAACACCCCGGTCCGGGAATTTCTCTCCCTCGAGCCGTGAACCCCGCCCCGCACCCCGTTTCCAATCCCGAGGGAGGAATCAACCCCGAGGGCATCCATCCGCCTCCCACCTGGGCGAGGGGGCGCGGCGCAGGGGGCGGAGAAGGGTCTGCACCCCGGCCAAGCTGCTTTGTGCAGAGCGGACACCCCAAATCCCCCGCAGCCCCTCCGGGCGCCCCGAAGCCGCGTGCGCCTCACCTCCGAGGGCGTGAGAGGCGGAGCGCTCCGCCCCGGGCCGCCCGCGCCCCTCCCGGCCCGCGCGCCGCGCGCACCAGGCTGCACGATCCGCGCCGCGAGCCGCGGCCCCCGCTCGGCCGTCGCCGCCGCCGCCGCCGCCGCCGCCGCCGCTTCCGCCCCTGTGACGGCGTGACCCGGAGTGGGAGGAGTCGGCGGGAGCAGGGAGGAGTCGGGGCTCCGCCTTCGCCCTCGCGGTGAGGTTCGCCCCTCCTTGCCCATTTCCGCCACCGCGCCAGTCGGAGCGCCGGGAAGGGCGAGGGCGGGGCCTGCACGCCGGTGAGAGGCTGCGCCGGGGGCTGGCGCTGGGGCGGGACATCCAGGGAGGGGGCGTGTCCAGGGCGGGGACCGAGGGGGCGGGGCGAGGGGAGGCGGGGCTCCTGGGCGGGCGCGCGGGCTGGACGCCGGTGCCGGGTGGACCGGGGGCTGGCGCTGGGGCGGGACATCCAGGGAGGGGGCGTGTCCAGGGCGGGGACCGAGGGGGCGGGGCGAGGGGAGGCGGGGCTCCTGGGCGGGCGCGCGGGCTGGACGCCGGTGCCGGGTGGGCAGGGAACGGGGCCAGGGCGGGGCGGGGCTGGAGGCGGGTTCGGGGCGGGGCGCCGGGGAGGCGTGGCGCGGAGGCCTAGACCTGCCCGCCCCTGGCGGTTCGCAGCTAGACCGTGAGGCAGCGAGCGGCTCGCGCGGTAGGTTCCTGAGGTCCAGGGGAGGCGCGGGCAGCGGAGGGATGAATGGTTCGCCGGGTGCGAGGCTGGGATGGGAGGCCGGAAGCGGCGGCCTGGGAAGGATGCACAGCCCCGCCAGCCCTGCGCATCCCGAATTGGGGTTCAGGGAGCAGAGTGAAATCCGAGAATAACCAGGCAGGGAAGTAAAGGGGCTTGGTGTAAGTCCGTTATGGAAAGTTAAACCAAAGCATTCTTGTGAATCGGTGATTGTTAAGAGAAGTACTTGCCAGAATAGTGAGGGATGCACTGGGGGTGGTGGGGGGGGGGTAAGGAAACTGGGGTGCTTTAAATGTTGTCTTGATGCTTGGTGTTAATATAGGTGTAAAAATCCTATGTAAAAGTTCGCTGAGCCATACTCCTAAAATGTGTGTACTTTAGGAAATTTAGCAAAAATTTTTAAGAAGCAGTAACATGTTTTTGTTTAAAGGTGGGGGCCCACCCGCAGAAAAATCAGCGACCAAACTGGCACATCTGTTTCCATGTATGGGTAGAAATACGAGTGAAACTTGCCTTTCCTGATTTTTATAACTTGCGGTTTTATCTTGTTTTAGAACGAAACTTTTAATTCTCCAGAAAAGGAGGTGAACAAGTTAAGAAACTGTTAATCTTCTCAGAATTGATTAGGTTATATTCCTGTTGGTCAGTTACATTTCAAGTTTGTGTGAGAGGGATAGGGTCATAAAATCCTGCCCTGCCTCTATGATAAAATTATGCTTTCCTTTTGTTTTAAGTAGAAAACTGCTTAGTGACATCTCAAGCCCAAAATTTCAGCTGAACATGGAGATAAAAAAATACTTCATTGCTTTTCTATACCCAATATCAGGTACTTCCCCCTAACCTCTCAAAAAACTATGAGAGCCTTGCAGAAGTCATTCGTTAACAACTATTTGCTGAGAAGTGAATTTATATTCCCAATTACAAGGGATGTGCCTTAAATTCTAAGCACATCAAAGCCAAAATTTGCATTAAAGGGAATTTTTCCTGAAATACCTGCTTTTATGTTTTGTTTGCTATTCTCAAGAAAAAAATAATTAAATTAGAACCACCAATAATAACATACTAATTCAAACTACTATATAGAAATTAATCCAAACTACTATATAGAAATTTTATAAATAAAAAAGTAAGACAGTTATTAACTACAGAATAAAAAAAGTTGTACAGCAAATTAAAAGTAATCACAGAATACTAAGCTGTGGAAAGTATTTACTGAGTCAGAACAATGTGTACTCCATATATTTAATCAAAAATCTGCTATGTCTCTTGAAAGGATAGGGAAAATGAGAAGGGTGCGTGCGTGCGTGCGTGCGTGCGTGTGTTGGGAAGTTGAAAGAGGGCTAACTGCTTATCTTCTTTAGAAGCTACCTAGAAATGAAAGGCAGGAAGATACAAAATACACTTGTTATTTTGAGTATAGAGTTAAATTTCAAGACTTAGCTATAAAATTTAAAGATGGTTGGGAAAGGGAGCTGTTATTTACATAACTGCTGAATCTTTAAATTGCATGCATTGTAGCATTGATTAAAAAAAGTAAACATTTAAAAATACGTGACATATTTACATCATGGAATACTATGCAGATCTTATAAAGAAGGATCTCTTACTCTTTGAGACAGCATAGAGGGACCTGGAGAGTATTGTAGTAAGGAAAATAAGCCATCAGAAAAAGACAAGTACCACATGATCTGACTCATATATAGAATCTAATGAACAGAATAAACTGATTAACAAAATAGATCCAGAGACATAGAAGCATGAAACAGACTGATAAATCTCAGAGGGAGGTGGGGGAGATTAATCAAAGAACTTATATTCATATATGCATAACTCCTGGACATAGACCATAGTGTGGGGAAAGCCTAGAGGTTTGTGGGCAGGGTGGAGGAGGTCAATGAGAGGGGGAGAGGGGGGACATCTTAATACTTTGAACAACAGATTAATTTTTTTAAATTTTTAAAGAGTGAGGCCGAGCCGGGACCGGTTTGGCTCAGTGGATAGAGCGTCGGCCTGCGGACTGAAGGGTCCAGGGCATGTACCTTGGTTGCGGGCACATCCCCAGTAGGAGGTGTGCAGGGGGCAGCTGATCGATGATTCTCTCTCATCGATGTTTCTAACTCTCTATCTCTCTCTTCCTCTCTGTGAAAAATCAATAAAATATATATTTAAAAAATAAAAATAAAAATTTTAAAGAGTGAGCTGCTAGGAAAAAAATTACCTTAAGTTTACAAAAGTTATAAAGTATGAAATGTCTGTTTGTTTTTTCTCCTTTTCCTAACTAAAACCCTTTTATTCTCATTTTAAAGTGTAATTCAATTCATTTAAAGATCTTGCCTAATGTGTAAGATGAGGTTGCTTCTGATAGTAAGTAATTTTTGTATGGCTTTTCCTGAGATGTTGAAATATTTTTTAAGAACCATACTTCTGAGAAGAATAGTTTTTATTTCGTTCTTCAAGAGAATTACAGTGCCTTTAAATGTCAACATTGCAAATATTTTCCACTTAGGCATTAAGACATCTGCTTGTAAGGCAACGGTACCTACGAAACTATGGATGATACAAGAACTTCACTTGATGTTAAAGAGTACCCTGATACTGAGGTACAGAAAAACCGAACACTAACCCTGGAAGAGTGGCAAGAAAAGTGGGTGGAGCGCAAAATTACGTTTCATCAAGAACAAGGACACCAGTAAGAAATGTTTGGTATATAACAGAGAAATGCTCTATCAGAGACTGACTTTGGCAATAGAAATAACAGCATAGGCACACATTATTTGACTGATTTTTAAGATGCACATTTTAGCATCTCTGAAAACAGAACCCATCTATGTCATGTCATAGGTGATTAGCAATGCTTTCTCTTCCCCTGGAGTATAAATAATGGTGTGACTTACAAATAGGACTTTTGTTAAGCCCTTGTAGCATCTGTGTATCGGACATGCGTGTTTATACGTGCAGCAGATGCTTACGTGACATGAATGCCTCTCTCTCTTTATACTGAAAAGTGGTGTTATTACTTTGCTATCCAATAACATGTGTTCAAATGTTAAAGTATTATATGTACAGGGGAAGAAAAGTTTAAAGCAATTAGCAAGTGAGCCAGCATGTTGAGCCACGCGTTAGTAGCAGTAGTAGGCTTCGAAGCAGCGACAATAAATCTCAGGCCAATGCTGAGTCAAGTGGTCATGTCAGACTTTCCTTGTTCCAGGCAGCCACCTGCCCTCCCTGCAGCATTATTATGGATTGCATCTGCACACCGAGGGTAGATGGGGCACCCTCCCAGAATCATTGAATGGGTTATCTCTGTCATGTGGACGGCCTTAGAAGAGCCACATCTCTACAGAGGAATTAACTACAAGAATAGCTACAACTCTTCGGAGCTCCTTCTGAGACCTGAGTACGCTTTTAGACAGCTTGAAAAGCTCAGTGCGCCCAGAGGCTCCCCTACATCTCACACACACAGATAAACACATACACATATACCTTGGAGAGAGTAATAAGTTTGAAAACATCAACCAAAGAAATTTGTATTTTATTTTTAATTACTCATCAGGACAGCCCCAGATTTAAGTCAGATTAACCGTTCCTTAGCTATGTTACTGAGCAAGTAACTTAACCTTCCTGTCTCTTTTTATGTCCACCAAGGATAATAATAACTAATGCTATCTGCTTTTTAAAGTTGTTGGGGATAGTGAGATAATGCATGAAAAGCACTTAGCGTCCTACAGTTGTAGTCCTTTCCCCTGCACTGGCTAATTTAAATTTTTTTGTCTTCCTCCCCAGGCTGTTAAAGAAGCATTTGGATACTTTCCTCAAAGGCGAGAATGAACTGAGGGTATTTTTCCCTCTTTGTGGGAAAGCAGTTGAGATGAAATGGTAAGAGCAGATAAACATTAACTCACTTTCTTGTCTTGGTGCAAAATACTTGAAGCTGAGAGCATTTGTAAAATGGCTGCTGTGGCTTAACTGTGCCCATGAAATTGAGGACACTTAAACTATATTATTAGACTTGATCCTAACCAAGCTGGTTCAGTTGACTGAACCAGAAAAAAAGAATTACTTTGAAAACTACCTGCATGAAAAATATTAACTTTATTCAGAGATTGTCTTATTGCCGTGTCATAAGTGAAGAGAACAATCTAGAGTGCCGGGGAGTAGCAGCAGCCACCACAGCAGTGGAAGCAGCAGTTTATCTGTGTGCAGACCCAATATTGGAAGAAGATGCTAATTAAAGTGAAGACACTGACCAGAAAGGAGACTGAGATTGACATTGAGTCCATGGATAAGGCAGAATGAATCAAAGAACACGTGGAAAAGAAAAAGGAAACTCCTCCCCCCTTCCCCCCAGCAGTAGAGGCTTCTCTGCAGTGGTAAACAGATGGATGATGAGAAGACTACCCTCAGCTGATTATAAAGTTCCTAAAAGATGGTTGATAAAACATTGATTTTTGTTAATTTATCTCAGTGAAAACTCACTGGAACTCCAATAAGCAAACATTATCTATATCCTCATGCTGTACATGACACCCATGAGTCATTTATTTTAGAGCAGGAAGTTTGTGCTTTTGGAACCCTTCACCCTTGTTGCCCCCCAGCCTCTGGCAACCATCAATCTGTTCTCTTTATTTGTTAATTAATTTGGTTTTTTTATTTTATTTTATTTTTAAATGAAATCATTTGGTAATTGTCTTTCTCTTCTGACTTATTTCAATTAGCATAATGCCCTCAAGGTCCACCCTGGTTGTCACAAATGGGAACTTCTTTTTTTTTTTGTAGCTGAATAATATTACATTATGACAAAGTGTTTAATGTTGCTCATCAATCCTTATCTTCTCCATGAGCCTTGTGATTTTTATTGCATGATTTTGCGTAGTGCAGTGATTATTAGGTAGGCATATGTTGCATTATAGCAGAACTGATTGCGTGTGTGTTTAATTTGACATAAAATCAATACTTTGCCTATGTATTTTGTGCCACTAGTAGTGTTTTCTCTGGAGTCCAGAATTCCAAGTCTATGAATTCTGTAATTATAAAGCTTACTAGGAAAATACTAGTCATTTGCATATGATAACTAAATAAATTTCTGGATAGAATGTATTGTAAATGAAAATTATAAGAATATAAGTAAATGAAAATTGTAAGATTTTTATAGAAATGGTGCTAGTGTTCTAAAGCCATATGCTCCAGTACCGTAGCTACTAGCCGCATGTGGCTATTTAAATTTAAATTAAATCACACTGGCCAAGTCTCAAGTGTAGTTAGTGGCTGATGGACAGCGTAGGTGTAGACACGTCCATCATCACTAAGGTTGTAATGGACAGAGCTGATTTGAGAGAAATTGAAAAATATTTTTAATCCATAGGATGCTTTTAAATCAGAAACTCTTCTAATAAAATCCATTTGTAGCAAATCAACACTTTAAGGAATAATTTTCCAAAATTAAAAATTATTTTCCTACAGTCATATAAACAAATTTTTCAGAGTTTCATATAACTTATGGTTTGAAAATATATAGATTCACTTGCTGTGGATCTATATGTTCTATGAAATTCTATGAACCTGAATTCATCTAAATCCCTTAAAGTTAAGAAAAATTTATGCTTATTGGGCATATCCTTTTATTTAGTACTGTATTTAAAATAACTTAAGTGTAAATATATGATTTTATGCAGGTTTGCAGATCGGGGACACAGTGTAGTCGGTGTGGAAATTAGTGAGCTTGGGATACGGGAATTTTTTACGGAGCAGAATCTTTCTTATTCAGAAGAACCAATCAAGGAAATTCCTGGAGCCAAAGTATTCAAGGTTTGTTTGGTTTTTTGTAAATAATTATTTCCATACTCCCACAAAAATGGTTTTCAATGTGAATGAGGATACTATGCAAGGTTCACTGTATGTAAGATTCACTTATAAGTTAAGGAGCCAGGGCTTTAAAAGATTGATGGATAGCCAGCCAGCATGGTTTAATAGTTGAGCATCAACTTGTGGAACAAGAGGTCATGGTTTGATTCTTGGTCAGAGCACATGCCTGGGTTACAGACTCCATCCCTGGTGTGGGGCATGCAAGAGGCAGCCAATCTATGATTCTCTCTCATTATTGATTGTAGGGAGCAGATATAGGGTTAAGCCTGGGACTGACCTGTTGGCAAAGCCAGAAACGAGTCCCAGCTTAGAGGGCATAGCCCTCTTAGCATGATTAAGCCTGACCTTATAACACTCCCTAGATCCTTCCTGGGTAGCTAATGGGCTGTGGGAGATGCAGCAAGTGAAACTCACAAGGACATGGTAACTATGGTGACCACTACCTTGTTTATCTCTGGCTATAAAATAAAGGCTCAGCTTGCCCTCTGGATCTTTTTCTGTGGCCTTAGCCATGCACCGGAGATCCACCCAGACCCAGCTATTTTCTTTGTCTTTTCTTCAATCCTTCGCTGCCCCTCCTCAGGCTCGCTGAACCCTTGGCTGTGCTGGCATGGCACAATTTATTTTATTTAATTTTAAAGACAGAGTAAGGGAAAGGTAGAGAGGGAAAACACCAATTCGTTGCCTCCAGTGTTCACCCCAACTGGAGGTCAAACCCACAAAACTGGGTATGTGCCGTGACTTCAAGTCAAACCGGTGATCTTTCAGTGCACAGGATGATGCTCAACCAATTGAGCCACACCAGCCAGGGCCTATATGATTTTTTTTTTAATTTATAAATTGTCATCTCTGAAACCTGTCTTGCACCACACCCTGCATGAGACATTGAGAAGATAATACAGTCCCTGCCCTAAAGAATCCTTTAGCTTAGAAGAGAAGAGAGAAATGCAGAGAAAGCTGTCATAAATGAAGTGTAATGGCACAGGTATTAAGGGAACAGAGAGAAATTACCTAACCCAGCCTGGGGGAGCTTCCTGAATGAAGCTTGGTGACTGATAGGGTTGGGACAGGCAGGGCGTCACATCCTTGGTCTCAGATGCCCTGAGAAGCTGGTACCTTTAGACTGTGCAGCAAGGTTTTATTTATTATTATTATTATTATCATCATTATTATTATATCAGGTTTAGGACTTTCAGGGCCCCCCCCCCCCCCATTTTGCCTTGTTTTTTGTTTTTTGTTTTTTGTTTTTAAATCAATCTTTATTGTTCATATTATTACAAAGGTTCCTCATTTCTTCCCCCCTCCACCAGGTTCCCACCCCACCCTCCGCCCCCTCCCCATCCCCCATTGTCCTCATCCATAGGTGCACAGTTTATGTTCAGTCTCTTCCTCCCTCCCTTTCCCCCAATAGTAAATCTCTTTTCAGAGAGTAAATCAGTTACTTAGCATTTTCTCATATCAATAATACCTCCACATGCCCAATGATACACTTCACACAAAAGACATTTCCCAATAGGTCCACCAGCCTCATCCAGGCCCCACCCAAGGCACTCACAGATCAACACCCCAGCCCTATACTAACTCAACACATCCAGATCTAAGCCTTCATCACTTGATTCAGCAGACTCTCAAGTTCCCGCAAAAGTTTCCAGCCATGTCTGAGAGGCAGCCGTGGGGCAGGGGCAGGCAAGGAGCGAGCTGTTCCGGGCCTGGCTGCTCAGGGCCTGGCTTCTGTTGCTCTGGTTCGTTCTACAACCAGCTGCTCCGGGTATGGTCACTGCCGCTCCCGACCTAGTTGCTCTGGACTTGGCTGCTGCTGCTCCGGGCCTGGCCGCTCCCAGCCTGGCAGCCGCTGCTCCGGGCCTGGCCGCACCCAACCCGGCTGCTCCGGGCCTGGCCGCTCCCAGCCTGGCAGCCGCTGCTCCGGGCCTGGCCGCACCAGACCCGCCTGCTCCGGGCCTGGCCGCTCCCAGCCTGGCAGCCGCTGCTCCGGGCCTGGCCGCACCCGACCCGGCTGCTCCGGGCCTGGCCGCTCCCAGCCTGGCAGCCGCTGCTCCGGGCCTGGCCGCACCCGACCCGGCTGCTCTGGGCCCAGCTGCCCCAGGCCCAGCCTCTTCGAGCCTGGCCACTCCCGGCCTGGATGCTCTGGGCTTGGCTACTGCTGTTCTGGGTCTGGCTGCTCCCACCCCGGCTGCTCTGGGCCCGGCTTCTCCGGGCCCGGCCACTCCGGGTCTGGGTGTTCCTGGACTGGCCACCCTGGGCTTGGCCGCCTCCGCCTCAGGCCTGGCTGCCACTGCCCCAGGTCTGGCTGCTCCTGTTCTGGCTGTTTATGCTCTGGTTCTGGCTGCTGCCGCTCTGGGGCCTGGCCGTTGCTGCTCCTGGCCTGGCTGCCACTGCCTTGTGCCTGGCCACTCTAGGCCTGGCCACCGCTGTTCCAACATTCTGTCCTTTTTTTTTCTTTTTTCTTTTAAACACATTTATGTTGCAATGTTGGCTGTTGAGTTGAGTTCTGACTTAGTCTTTGATTTTTCAAGAACTTCTTTGTATTCTTTCTTAAGTAATTTTACTATCTTTTGCTCTCACTTGATTTCTTCACATTGAGAACTTCTTTGGTTTCTTCCTCCTTGTCCTGGGAGCTCAGCAGGTTGGCCTGTGGCACCCCTTTGTTCTCCATTGGCTCCTGCGCTGCTTCAGCCTGTTGCATGGGACGGCGCCGCCCAGGAAGCAGCCCCCGGCCTTGACTCCATTGCCTGCACTCAGCGGTCGAAGGCTCAGGGGCATCCACCCCCCCAGGGGCCCCGTCGCCCGGCTCCTTGCTGGTGCCTGGTTGGCCGGTGTCCTGCAGGGGCTCCCGCTCCCCGCCGCGTTCCCCCAGCCCGGAGCTTTTTTTCTCCTTCCCGCTAGGGGAGTCCAGCATCAGAGTCAACAGACTGTCCTCTGCGCGCAGTGTGCCCACGAGTCCGGGGGCCCGGCCTTTCGCCGCTCTCCCTGGACTCCACCTTACAGCCCCGTCTCCCTCTGCCTGAGCCTGGGTCCCCTGGGATTGGCCCAAAACTGGGGTTCGGAGCAGTCTGGACTGAGGCTCAGTGCTGCCGGAGGCCTTGTTTCTTCCGGCTAGGGTAACCCAGCATCAGAGTCAACATTCAGTCCTCTGCGCGCGCATTGCGCGCGACTCCGGGGGCCCTGCTTTTCTCTGCTCTTCTGGGATTCCGCCTCACAGCCCCGTCTCCCCCTGCCGGAGCCTGGGTCCCCAGGGTCTGGCCCATAACTGGGGCTCAGCGCTGCCGGTTCGGGGGTTCAGCCCAGGCTGGGGGTTTTATTTCCTTCCTGCTAGGGAACGCCAGGCAGGGCCCAGCCCTCTCCTCCTCTCCGGCTGCGACCTCTCTCCTCACGCGTGCGGGCGGGCGGGCGCACAGCATGTCTCTGTACCTTAGGCTTTTTTTCAGCTCCTCTGATTTTCCTTATGGTTTTCTCTTTCCTTCTTGTTGTAGAATTTTCAGTCAGTCGACTACCTGTAGCTCTGGGCAATGTCCACTCTACATTTTAGTTGTATTCCATTGAAATTATTGTGTGCTGCTGCGGTTAGATGTCTACCCGAGCAGCCATCTTGGATCTCTCTTTGTTTTTTTTTTAGAGAAAGGGAAAGGGAGAGGGATAGAGAGATAAAAAGATTGATAAGAGAGAAACATCATCAATTGGCTGCTTCTTGCACAATCCCACATTGGGGATTGAGCCTAAAACTCAGTCATGTACCTTGTCCAGGAATCAAACCAGAGACCTCTTGGTGCATGGGTCGATGGTCAACCACTGAGCCACACTGGCAGGACATGTGGATTAAGGTTTTATGTAGGAACATAACAAGGTCAGATTTTTCTCTGACTCAACAGACCCTTGTGGCCTCAAGGGCAGTGAATTTGAAGGGAAGGAGCCTCCTGACAGATCAGGTGCTGAATAGATGACAGGTTGGATGGCAGGGGATAAAGCAAGTTGAAGAGCAAGAGAAAACGAATTTTGTTTGGAGATACTGAGTTTAAGAGACCTGTAGAATGGCACAGGTGTAGCTGGCAAATGGTTTTAAGTCTCTGAAAGGCAGGACAGCACTTAGGTTGGAAATAATAGATTTGGAAGTTGTCATCCTATGACCAGAATGGTCCAGTGGCACTGGGGTAATAGTGTGGGAATAACACTAGTAAAGACCCTAATGTGAACAAGCAGAGGGGCGAGCCACTTGCATGTGGAAGAGCCTCAGAAGACACGCACGGGAGTGGGGAAGTGAATAGTGAAAAACAAAGGCGTCAGGTGTGCCCTGATCGGAGGCAAAGTGGGGCTGACAGGAGGGGGCCATACTATGTGAGGGGTTTAGGTTATATATTTGACTTCCTCTGATAGGTCTTGAGTGGGAAGGGTAAAATTTAAGGAGGCTGGCAGTCATTGACCACACAGGCTGTGGTTTGGCTTTCCAGGCTGGTTGCTGGGAGCTTATGGGTCCAAGTTCTCTTGTCTTACGTGGTCTGGCCATTGTTGGTACTTTCAGTCTCTCACAAAGCACGCTCATTTTTAAATACTGAAGTTAATTGATCAGGACATTAGGAGGCTTGCTAGTACTTTATTTTACAGCTTCCTCCCACCCCATTCGCAGTCACCTAAGAATCTCAGGAGATTGCTCAGTCCAAAGAGGTTAGTCCTGCTTCCAGATGCCTCTTGGAGCAATGGTTCTCAGCCCTCATATTTGAAGTCACCGGTGGAGCTTTCCAAGTTCCCAGTCTGAGGTCTGGCCTCAGGCCAAACAAGTCAGAACCTCTGGGGTGGGGCTGGCATCAGTACTATTGAAAGTTCCCCAGTGAGTCCAGTTAAGATGCACTGGCTAGCCTGTGGTTCAGTGGATACAGCGTCAGCCTGGGGACCAAAGGATCCGGTTTGATTCTAGTCAAGGGCACGGGTCTTGGTTGCAGGCTCCTTCCCAGCTCTGCTTTCCCTCTCTTCCACTCTTCTAAAAATCAATGGAAAAATATTCTCAGGTGAGGATTAACAGGAAGGAAGAAAGGAAGGGGGGGGGGGGGCAGGGGGAGATAGATGCACTGGTTGTTCTCTCTGCCTCCAGGCCCAGCCCTTTCTGGGCTGTCCCCAGAGTACTTCTGAACTGGTCTCCAAAGACCCTCCCTCCTGTGTTTATAAACCTGCTGGCACCTCATTTCAGAATATAATCTAAGTTTCACATCCTGATGCACCTTTGCTAACTTGCCCTTCACCCCTGCCTGCACCCCACCTCCTAGACTTCCATCCTCTGGACATGATAGAATCCGTGTCATGATACTCCCCCTTGACTGCACACCAGCCCAACCCCTGTAATGTTTGAGATGCACCAACATCCTTTTAAAGCTGCCTCCTGTTCAGCCTTTCCCCAGTCAGTTCCCTGCTCTGTCCTCTTTTCCCATCGTTCTCAGGCACACAACCAGAACAGGACAGGCCGTTCGGCAGTGTCATGTTTCTCTGTGCCCACGCCTCTCTGCTCCACCAGGCTGTCCCCATTGTGGTCAGAGACCGTGTCAAATTCACACCCCTGTCTAGAACAAGGGTGGTCCTATCCGCAAAGCACTCAGAAAATAATGCTCATTAGACAAATGAATGAAAGAACAAAGGGACGTCACCCCAACTACACTTTTCATGAATAACTTGTAATATATTTTACCTTTCTCTATCAGCTTACCTGGTCATTGATTGAACTGGACTCTGCTATAATAAATATTGCTAAATTTTAACAAGTTAATGAGGTTAATCTCTCTTTATTTTCTCCTTGAGTTGATCCAAAAGAACCAGGTTTTTAAAAAAGTATGTCATTAAAAAATGTGTTCCAGTAAAAATTTATTTTCAATAAAATATTATTTATAGTAAAATTGTATCCTTTATATTTAATTATGCATTCTTTCTCCACCACCTTTGTTTTCCCCCTCTTTTCTTTCCTTTAGTACTCAGATATCTCCTCTAATAAATAGCATTTTTTTTTCTTGACTTTTTCATTACAGAGTTCTTCGGGGAACATCTCATTGTACTGTTGCAACCTTTTTGATCTTCCCAGGTAGGACTGAATACTACCTCTGCACTTTTGAAAACCTCAGTACTTGCTGGCAGTGCTGGGTCTGAGGGCAGGTCTTTCCTCTCCCACATCCACTGTAGTAGCACTCACAAAGCATTGATTTGAGTCTGTTCTGCAGTTATTTTTATCGTAGGCTACATGTCTCACAAAAAAAATCAGTGAGGCCGGCAGTCATTAAACACGTCCTACCTCCCACAATTTTTGTCCTTGGAGAGCTTCCGAACTATGGAAAACATTATCATGACCCTAGATAAATAAGTAAAAGGAAGGGAAAGCAAGACAGGTGTCACCTTCACACCCAGGTCTGTCACACCTGGTGAAGTACCAGCATGCACCGTGGGAAACACTGTTCAGTGTGTTAAAGATTTGATGTTTCTTACATAAAATGTTGTAATTGGTTTTTCTTTTTTTTCTTACAGAGCAAATATTGGCAAATTTGACAGGATTTGGGATAGAGGAGCATTTGTTGCTATTAACCCAGGTGATCGTAAACGGTTAGTAATTTGGTTTATTTAATTATGTTGGCTTTTCATTTTTTTCTTCCTTTATTTTTTTAATTTATTTTTTGCCTTCTTAATTTAGTATGCTATGCTTTTTCTGGATTTAGATAATTAGCTAGACTTTTACTGGTTTAAAGTAGCATTTTGTATTTGGAATTGTAGCTTTCTGCTGCATTTCTCTTTTTTTAAAAAAAAATATGTTTTTATTGATTTTAGAGAGGAAGGGGGAGAGAGACAGAAAAATCAATGATGAGAATCGTTGATCGGCTGCCTCTTGCATGCGCCCCCACTGGGGATTGAGCCCATAACTTTGACTGGAATTGAACCTACGACCCTTTAGTCTGTAAGCTGACACTCAATCCACTGAGCCAAACTGGCTAGCGATGCTTTTCTCTCTTATACTTGCTCCTTTAATGACACTGCAATTCTTCTGTTACTTTCAGTTATTCAACAAATACGTATTCAGTTCCTACTATGCTCTAAATATATCCTACGCCAGATATTGGGGAAATAATTGGACAAATTGTACATGGCATTTGCCATTACCATTTTTATATTTCCAGCTCTGTTCTCTCTCCCAAACATGCACATCACATTTCCAGAGTCTGCTTGGCATTTTCCGTGTGACATCTGTGTCCTTTTTCCACTCAAAAATTCACCTGAAACCTCTCTCTACCCACAAAAATACCATGTTTGTGTACTAAGCTCAGTTCTGCTAAATGTCTAACTTTGTAGGTGTTTCCACTCCCTACAGATATTCATCTGTTTTATGGTTAGTCCCTCCAGGAGCTTTGGTTTGCCTGGGTAAATTCCACAACTCAGTGGGGAGCAAACTGGAAATCACAAAGCTCATTGTAAGGGCAGACCATGCCCCTGGTATGCCAAGAGCCAAAGCTCCTCCCTCTAAGCTGGATAGTATTAGGTCTAGTAATAATTAATGTCGTTTTCTAATACCTTTTTTAAATCGAATTTATTTAAACAATACAACAAAATTTAATCAACAATATAGTTGCCATTGTTTTCTACTACTTGTGCCCAACGCTCAGGAAGCATTTTAATCCCTCTGTTGTAAAATTCTTGTGATTTTGATGCAAAAAATTCGGTCAATGCATTTTTGAGGCATTCTTCATTATTAAATTTTTTTCCAAGAAGAAAGTTTTGCAAAGAACGAAACAAATGGTAATCGGAAGGGGCAATATCAGGAGAATATGCAGGTTGAGGGAGAACTTCCCATTCCAACTGGCGCAGTTTTTCAGCAGTGATTCTTGCAGTATGCGGTCGTGCGTTATCGTGGTGAAGAATTACACCCTTCCGATTAATCAGCGCGGGTTCTTTTTCTCTTCAAGCTTGGGCTAACCTTTCCAATTGGGCACTATACACTGCACTTGTAATGGTTTGGTTAGATGGTAAAAGTTCATAATGAAGAATTTCTTTAAAATTCCACCAAACACACAACATCATTTTTTTCGCATGCAAGTCAGGTTTTGGCGTGGGCTGCGGAGCCTCATTTTTGTCCAACCATTGAGGCCGCCTTTTCAAATTAACATACAGCTCCCATTTTTCATCTCCGGTAACAATTTGCTCTAAAAACGGCCAACGGTTTTGACGAGAGAGGAGCGAACTGCAAATTGTGACTCTTTGATTACGGTTGTTGTCAGTCAACTCATGAGGAACCCATTTTCCAAACTTTTGGACTTTGCCAAGTGCACGCAATTGATTGGAAATTGTTTTTTGTGAACAATTTAAAGTTGTCGCAAGCTCTTGTTGGGTAATTTGAGGATTTTGCACCAAAAGAGCTTGAAGAGCTTCTTGATCAAAATTGGACACACGGCCTCGACCACTCTTATCATCTAACGAAAAATTTCCCTCGCGAAATTTCTCAAACCAACGCTGGCATTTTCTGGCGCTAACTGCATCTTGACCAAGAGCACTACAGATGTTTTTTGCAGCCTCACTTGCTTTTCTTCCTAATTGGAACTCGTAAAGCATGCAGTGCCGAATATGCTCTTCATCCGCCATCTTCTTAGCCCTAGTTTTGCAACAAAAACCAAACCAAACACAAACATTTTCAAGCAAAACTTGTTAATTGCACTTCACACGTTCTGTAGATACCATGTGTTTGAAGGTTATGTCAATACAAGTCAACGCCAAGCAAGATTTTAAACGAATGTTAAAAAACGACATTAATTATTACAGATATGTCCATCTCTGTCTGTCTCTCCTGCCTCTCTACCTCCCTGTGTGGATGTCGTCTGTCCTCCCACCCTGACCACCCAGCTTTCTCTGCTTGCTCCATTTCTGCTCCCACCTATCAGACTTGCTCAACACTCTCAGCCTCTTTACCACACAGCCTCTTCACCAGCTTTTAGTGCAATGACCACAGCTAGCCAGCGACTCCTTGTTGGGTCTCTTAATTTCTTTCTCTGGTGGAATAATTTGACTGGTCCCACTAATCATTCTATCCTGGGCCCCATCCTGGCTCCTGGTCAGGGCTCCTGATGGGCCCCATCCAGGTGAGGTTCTCTCACTGAACCAAACAGACACGCCTGGGAACTCACGGTTTAGACCAGACTTGCAGAACCAGATTTCATACTGCCTTGAATCTTTGCCTTTTAGTTTTGTCTCTCCCCAGATAAACAGAGAGGGGGAGGTTGTGTTCTGTACCTCCTACATGTGCCCTTGGAGAGGTCCCAGTCATCCAGGACACTTGTTACCCTACAGCAAGCATGTCAAACTCAAAGGCTTAAACTGGCCAAATAAACGAGGCACTCGCCCTGAGGGCCGCAAGTTTGACATGCTTGCCCTACAGCAGGCCATGTCCCACAGTAAACCTACAGAATAAGCCTGTGGGGATGGAGCCCAAGCATCTTTTCTCTGATCAAGCACCTAGGTGATTTTGGGACCAGCCTGGGAAGAGGTTTGTCTGCCCCAGAGCACCCGCTGGTCCTTTGGGAAGAATGTGTTTGAAGTGGCCAGGCCTCTGGGTGCATCAAGGTGGAAGTGGTCTCTGCTCGTCTCGTTGTGAAGTCTTCTGGTCTGAGGGGATCTGGAAGCAGCCTCATCTTCACACCCATCTTTATTATTTCCCAGTTTAGGCAGATGACATAATTTGCGTAACCCATTTCTGACTTTTAGAATGAGAATCGGCTTCGTAGGGTTGTTAGGAGAAATACGCTCAGTGACGTAGATGAACGTAGAGGCTGCCTTCCCTCCCTGCCAGGCCTTGCCTTTGTAGAGAATTCTAACACATTCTTTTCTGTGTGCTTTGGTTCGTTTCAGCTATGCAGATATAATGCTGTCCCTAATGAGAAGAGGGTTTCACTACCTCTTGAGTGTTTTTTCTTATGATCCAACTAAATATGCAGGTAAAGTCCTTTTGTTTTCCTAGTTGCCTCATTTCCTGATTTATAATAATTCTATGACATGAAAAGCATCCATTTTCTCCTAATTTATCCCACAGGAAGTATAGTGCTTATACACACATACTTGAAGATGCGTCTAGTTTTGGCTAATGGAAACTATAAACTTTTTCTATCTTCCCACTGGGTACATATTTTTCTCATATTCCATTCCCATTTTGTTCATTCACTGCTCAAACCATAAACGAGAAGGAGGAGTGGATGGCCCTAATGTAAAAGAGAAGTCTGATGAGTAGGAGGAAGAGAGCTTTGGTTGCTTTGCTATACAGCGAGCATAGCTATGGCATCCGTGGTTGGTGGGGACTATCTGGGCAGGTGCCTATGGGTGCACACACACACAAGCATCCTCATAGGAGAATGGTGTCAAAAACGGACATGGGGAGGTAGGAGATGTGCAAGAAAAGCTCTAAAACTATTGCTATTTAATTTATGAAATTTTATAATTTATTAATTGAATTTTTTTATAACTATCTTTGTTTTGAATTTGTAAAAGTGCTATTTTTTCTGGACCCATTTTAATGTGTTTGAACATTAAAGCTTAACTTTTGTCATCACTGAACTTTGTCTTCAGGAAGATTTGAAAACCAACTATGTACACTTTTCATTTCTAAAAATTCTCTGTTTGATGTTTAATTGTGCTTTTTTAAAAAGCACTGTGTTTTAGAAACATTTATATATGTTAGTGTTTTTTTTCTCTTTAAATCATCTTAAAAACTCATTAAAAGATGAGTCCTGTTGTTCTTAATTAAATCTGGAACAATTGGATGAAAATAGAAATTAATGGAGACAGATATCAGCTCTGCTAATCTGATTTCAATTTCACTCCTAAACAGCAGGCTTAGGGAAGGGGCTATGGGAAAAACACAAAGCAAGCAGTGCTCAGAAGAGAGCTCTAGAGAGGGGCCGAAGCTAAGTTTCCTTTAAAGCTAATGGCCCTCAGCAATTTGGAGGGTGTATAGAATGTAGGGCTTGCAGAAGCAGGAGACGATCAATATCCCAGACATGAAGGAAACTCCAGGGAATTTGTTAATGAACTCCCGTATGATTTCAGTGTTCCCAAGTCCCATGGCTGGCTCAGCCACCTCAGCTCTGCTGGAGATGGGCACCCACCTCAGTAAGCCAGGCTTTGGTATGAGATGGTAGAAAAGCAGCAGCAGAACTTGTCACATGCTCACCTATTTGGCTAATCAAGTTGTATGTAGAGTAAGTGTACCTGGGTCATTGGAAATAAGCTGAGAAGTGGGTCCTGAGAATTTATCTCTTTTTAGAATGAGATATAACCATGTTTTTCTTTTACCTAGGCCCACCATTTTATGTATCAGACGATGAAATTGAAATACTGTTTGGTAAGTAATGAATGTATGCTGTAACTTTTTAAATAAAGTCAACAGTTAGCCTTTCTGAGCTATGATCAAACTATTATTATCTAGTGTGCCAGACCAGCTCAGCCAAGGGTTTGGTGAGCCTGAGGGAGGGGGTGAAGGATGTAGAAAAGACAGAGAATAAGCTGGGTCTAGCTGGATCTCCTGTGCCTGGATGAGGCCACATTGAGATATCCAGGAGGCAAGCTGAGCCTTTATTTTATAGCCAGAGGTAAACAAGGTAGTGGTCACCATAGTTACAGTGTTCTTGTGAGTTTCACTTGTTTGGGCAGCACTTGCTGCATCTCCCACAGCACATTAGCTACCCAGGAAGAACCTGGGGGCGGGGGGGTCATAAGGTCAGGCTTAATCATGCTAAGAGGGCTGTGCCTCCAAGCTGGGACTTGTTTCTGGCTTTGCCAACAGGTCAGTCCGAGGCTTAACCCTATAGCTGCTCCCTACAATCTAGAAGTATAAAATTTAAAGGTCAGAAACCATCTTATTGAAGACTCTTTTGTCCTAGAAAAGGAGAGATCTCTGTAATATGCCTTTTATTTTTGTAATATGCCTTTTTAGCTAAGTAGTATGCTTATGTTGAAGACATTTGAATTCTCCCAGAATTTTTAGTTTGTTTAGTTTGGCTCTTAAGTGTTATAAGTGATCATTCAGTTCAGAATTTGTCCTAGTAATTCCCCATTTTCATTAGAAAAAAAAAAAAGAGAAAAATCTTCAGTACAGTTTTTCAAATCATTTGATGTGTTTTCAGAAGAACCCCTGATTGCATTCTTCATGAAGTTTTAACTTGTTACCCTTTCTTCTTGTTTCAGGTTCAGCATGCAATTGTCAGTGTCTTGAGAAAGTAGATGCATTTGAAGAAAGACATAAAAGTTGGGGAGTTGACTACCTTATTGAAAAGTTATATCTTCTTACAGAAAAGTAAATGAGACATAAATAAATAAAAGCAAATAACATCAAGTTTTAGAGAAATTCAAAATCATGCTAAGGCATGAAAATACAATGTATGGCCTTTGAAAAAATTGTTCACAAATTACATCATAGTAATGTGTGTAACTTTTTAGAAAAAAACAAAAAACAATCACATACTAAAATGTTAAAGTAGCTGCCTTTGGAAAGGAGAATATGATTGGGGGGTTGTGTGGGTGAGAGATTATATCTATGTGTTTTACTTACAAATTGATTCTTTACAATCACCATGTTTTACCTCTAAATTTAAAAATAAAAGAATGCAATGCATATAACTTAAATATAATAGATACAGAAAAATTGTTATTCTTTATGAAATTTAGAACCATTGGGGAAATGTAACACTTTGATAGGGTTTAAGGTAAAAGAACGTGGTCTCAGAAATTATATAAAATAATAGCTTTTCCTATATATCCTCATATTATTTTCATCCTACCACTGCTTTTCACATTTTTCTCTTTATGTAATTTTATATGTAACAGAATCAAGAAAATGTTTTAAATTAATTAAATAAACCGATCTATATGCAACAAAATATTGTTCCTCTGTTCTCTTTGTTGGCTAGAGTTAGTGTCTATAACTTGCACCCACATTTATTTTAAAAAGTTTTTTTCTGAATTTGGCAAATTTTTTGTTTATTTTAATTTAATCTTTTTTAAATTACAGTCTTATGAAGTGCAGTGTACTTAGGGACTGGATTCAGAACTATTCATAAACGTTTAGATTAAGTATTTCTCAGTGTTTCATTAACGATCATATTTTGTTAAATCAGACATCCCTCTCAAATTGCACTACCTATATCTAATTGATTTAGATTGTTTGGTTCACGTTAATAGGATGGCTCATTATTAAGAAACTAACAGCCCATCGTGCACAGTTGGTCGCTGGCGGCTGCTGTGGGAGCCTGTGGGAACCATGCTGCTTCCCCGGGAGGTGGCAGGGAGCCATGCTGCTTTCGTGGGAATCAAGAGGGACCCATGCTGATTCCACGGGAGGCGGGCCCGCCGTCTCCCTTCCAGGCCTGCGCTCAGCCATGGAGGCTGCAGGCCACTCCCTGTCCCTGTCCGTGTCTGCTCTGGCTCCAGGGGGCCAGACTGAGCCAGGCATGACAATGAAGCAAGCATTCTGCCAGGCCAGGCTGCTTACGTTGCCCACACTCAGCGGCCGCCCCGCTGGGACTGGGGACTCGGGTGAGGCTGAGAGGACTGGGTGCCGCCATCTTGTGGCTATGGGTGCTGCCATCTTTGTGACGAAGTGATGGTATATTACCCTTTTATTAGATAGGACTAGAGGCCCGATGCACAAAATAGATGCAAAAATAGGCCTTTGCAATCCAGGCTGCCTCAGCCCTGGCTGCCTCAGTCCTCACAGCCCCAGCTTCATCTGGAAGGTCATTTGGACAATCGTTCAGCTGTTCGGCTGTTTGGTCAATTTGCATATCACTCTTTTGTTATTATAGACTAGAGGCCTGGTGCATGTGATTCGTGCACTGTGGGGGGCGTGGCCTGTGAGGATCCGCCCGCTGTGAGAGCACTGTTGGTCAGCCAAGCAGCTGTGGACCCGCCCTCTGTGACTGCTCCCTGGACCAGCATCTTCTGTGGAGCCAGAGCACTCGCCTCTCCAGGGGACTTGGTTGAGGCTGGGCCCAGGGACAATAGCACTGAGAAGCAGCGGAGTAGGCCTCAGTCCCACAATGGCCACGAACCAGCCTCCGAGGTCAGCTTTGTGAGCCCAGCGGTGGCAGCACTGCACGGCCTGCTGGCATCCAGAGGAGGTGGCTTGGGGTTCACAGCAGGAGCAACCGCTCCATCTTCGTCAGCCAAGCGGCACTCCCACTGTGGGAGCACACTGACTACCAGGGGGGCAGCTCCTGCATTGAGCGTCTTCCCCTGGTGGTCAGTACACGCCATAGTGACTGGTCGACTGGTAGTTCTGGTCATTCTACCATTCAGTCACTAAGCTTTTATTATATAGGACTAGTTAACTGTGTATGTGTGTGTTGGCTGGGTCAAAGGGGGAAGTTTATAGACCCCTTGAATACTGATAAAAGTTATAGGTACTTCCTTAGAAATAGGTGATAAGGAGGATACTGTGAAAACTTTCTTAGGGTTCAGAGTTGTTGACTTCCCTGCCTCTTCTGCCCCCATTTAGGAACTGCTGCCCTAGATGCTCTCTGGCACTCGTCTTATTCTAATACACATATAAGTCTATTAATTTGGAGTGTCTCCTAGCTCATATGGTTCTTGCTTCTCTGAAACCTGTCCCTGGTTCATAATGTGGGCTTCCAGAAGCCATGACTACCTGGCTCTGCCTTTGGCACCATTTGAATGGACGGAGAAGGGACTGCAGACCTGAGTTGGGCCAATCAGATTCTCTTCAGATATTTTTTTTAATATATTTTATTGATTTTTTACAGAAAGGAAGAGAGAGGGATAGAGAGTTAGAAACATTGATGAGAGAGAAGCATCGATCAGCTGCCTCTTGCACACTCCCTACTAGGGATGTGCCCGCAACCAAGGTACATGCCATTGACTGGAATCAAACCTGGGACCTTTAGGTCCGCAGGCCGACCCTCTATCCACTGAGCCAAACCGGTTTCGGCTCTTCAGAGATTTTTAGAACTGGATTGAGAAAATCAAGTCAGCCACTTAGAGGGGGTGAAACTAGCAGGTGACCCCCACGGCAGTGAGGTAGCCACTTTGTCCTCCAAGATCGGAGAAAAAGAGAATGCTGTCTGCAGAGGAGCAGAGATGAGGACTGGAGAGAGTCCTGGGCATTTTCAGTTTCCATTTTTCATTCTTCCTGAAGCCCAGCAGCTCTGTGGGAGAGAGCAGTGTGTGCCTGTGATAGAGATCTATTCTTGCTGGCTACAGTTAGTGCCTATAACTTGTACCCAAAGTTCCTTTAAAAATACAAAAGATATGTTCTGATGTAGTTGATCTTTTACATATTATGTGTTCTCAGTGGGGGAATACTGACCTTTTTAAAGTCTCAAGATAGACAATATACTACATATAAATTATTTTAGAGCAATTGTATTATGCTCTGAATTTTTTAGAAATGATTTTGTAGTTTAAAATTTTTTAAATATATTTTTATTGATTTTTTTACCGAGAGGAAGGGAGAAAGATAGAGAGCTAGAAACATCAATGAGAGAGAAACCAGCTGCTTCTTGCACACCCCCTACTGGGGATATGCCCGCAACCAACGTACATGCCCTTGACCGGAATCGAATCTGGGACCTTTCAGTCCGCAGACCGATGCTCTATCCACTGAGCCAAACCGGTTTTGGCATGAGTTTGTAGTTTAAATAGCAGATTCCCTGAGCCTGTGGGCCCTGACACAGTGATGAAAGACCTTGCCCTGCCTAAGCATTAAGACACTAGCATGTGTACACTCTTAATGCTGTCAGTGGCGTACAGAATGAAACAAGAAAAGAGTGCAAAAGTCCATGTGGGTGAATGGGGAAAGAAAATCAAGAGATACAACCAAAGCTTTAACACTTACCTCTGAGGAGCTGGAGATTTGGTTCTCTAAAGAGTTAAAGGCATGGAGACCACAGAAGGTAGCCTGAAAGGTGCACCTTGTGAGAGATACTATCAGGTGAAAGGGGATCGCTGGGCAGAATGAAGTGACAAATACAAACCTCACCCATAGAGAAATTAGTCCCATTTTTTTATAATTTTTCCCATTCACACTGTAGCACATACCTGTCATTGTTTTATTTTAATAACAAGGTGTGACATAGATGTGGTTTTATCTTTATATAGTTGATTTTTTATATATTATGTGTCCTATTGGGGTAATATATATATGGCACACACTCTTACACTCTTTAAAGATCTTTTTTTTTTCTTTCTTTCTTTCTTTTTTTTTTTTTTGCTGTTAATCCTCACCTGAGGATATTTTTTCCCATTGATTTTTAGATAGTGGAAGGAAGGAAGGGGAGATAGAGAGGAAGAATCATTGATGTGCAAGAGACATATTGATTAGTTGTCTCCCACACACACTACCCTGAGCAGGGCTGGGGATGGAACCTGTAACCCTTCAGGGGGTAGGCCAGCCCTCTACCCACTATCACCGGTTGGGGAATGTATATATTTAAATAATAATAAATTAATATAGCTGAAACAGGATTGGCTCAGTGGATAGAGCGTCAGTCTGCGGACTGAAAGGTCCCAGATTCCATTCCGGTCAAGGGCATGTACATTGGTTGCAGGCACATCACTGGTAGGGGGTGTGCAGGAGGCAGATGGTTGATGTTTCTCTCTCATTGATGTTTCTAGCTCTCTATCCCTCTCCTTTTCTCTCTGTAAAAAATCAATTTAAAAAAATATATATTTTTAAAAAAAATAAAATAAATTAATACGTTCTTACTGAAATTTTGGGAAGTATAGGGAAGTCTTTAAAAAACACACAAAAGGAGATTAAAAATTATGCTGAAGTAAGTGGGTGCTGCACGGACACACTCCCAGGACCAAACTGGGAATTAACAACTAAAATACAGAAAAATTTTCTGAATAATCAACTGAAGATTCACTGGAAAGAATTCTGATAACCGAGGACCAAAAGTAGAGATCGCATAGAGATGGATAGGAGGGGGGAGGAGCGAAGAGGGCTGGCCGGGTTCCCACAGACAGCTCCAGAAGTTCCAGAGAGATATTTCAGCTGCAGGGGTTGCCACTGAGAACCCTGGGGTATGATGCCCAAGCTGGGATCCCAGCAGAGAACACCAGAACTGAGAAGAATACCTACGTCTGGCTATAAAAGCACTTCATCTCAAAAATGCTCAATTGGATTGAGATCTGGTGATGTGGGGGCCACCTAAGCAAGGTAAAGTCTCCCTCATGTTCTTGAAACCACTTCTGCACAATATGAGCACAGTGGCATGGCGCATTGTCTTGTTGGAAGAAGCCATCTCCATTGGGATACGCCATCAACATGATAGGATGAACT